TGGTAAATAGAGTGGGTCCAGTAAGCGTACTATAGCCTACGCACCAATTTTGAACGTTTTGCAATATCGGTTGCAAAAATGAGGTACCCGGAAGGAGTTACGGTACTCGTACTTGCGTTCGAATTTCTTGAGAGGACCATCCCGATACTGCACCGTACGGGGTACGTAGTAACTGTAGGTCGTTTCAGTAGTACGCGTACTGGTACGTATGGTACCTTTACGGAAATAGTATGAATGATTTACTGTATGGGATACAATACAGTACGTATGGTAGTACTCGTACGTACGCTAGCGTACAGTATTCGACACGCGAAGTTCAGGACTCGATCGAAACACAACTTGGTGGATCTTTCGGAATCGTTCGATGATTCCCGTCCCCGCAATTTGTTTCTCACATGCCTACCATGGATCGTTCACCGCACGATACGCGATGACCGTTATTAGTTACAAGTGCTGTATCGAAGTACTGTGCGAAGTGCTTGTACTGTAATTATTGGAACAAAAAGTCTTGGTTCCCATTGCTGTCGACAAAACTTCGTACAGATCGAAAGTAGTCTTACCAACACTCTTTTCTACTCTTACTAGTCTCGATCGATCTTCGAGTACTAATCAACAGTTCAACATATCCTCCTCTACCCCACCATCGAAACGACAAAAAAAAATGGCGTCAGACGAGGCTATCCCGATGGAGGCTTCCGCGACTACAGAAGGTACGAACCACGTTGAAAGGAGTTGAAGCCAGCGTGACTTGTATGTTTTCGAAATCGATAACTTACAAGCAAGATATTTGACTATTTGTTTCTAATTGATGAATTTTGTGAAGTCGATGAGAAGTTGTACTCTCGACAACTTTATGTAATGGGGCACGAGGCACAGCGTCGCATGATGGCCTCCAAAGCTTTGCTGGTTGGATGCTCGGGCCTCGGTGCCGAAGTAGCCAAGAATTGTATTCTTGCTGGAATCCATTCCATGGTCTTGGTTGATCCCTTGCCTCCCAACACATACGATCTCGGTGGAAATTTTTACTTGAAGCCCGAAGATGTAAACTCAGGCATCAGTCGTGCGGATATTTGCCGACCGCTCTTGGCGGAATTGAACCCTTACGTGAACGTTAGCGTTGCCTCCGAAGTGACCGCCCTTACGGCAGAGCAGTTGCTTCCTCTATTGGATACGGGTATCACCTGCTTGGTAATCACTATTCCTCTCAGCAAGGAATTGCTGGTAGCATTGAACGAAAAATGCCGCTTGGTAAATGCGTCCTTCATCTACTCCTTGTCTTGCGGCGCCTTCGGAAAAGTTTTTTGCGATTTTGGAGCTTCCTTTGTTTGCAGTGATAAGGATGGGAACCCACCTGCTACTTCACAGATCGAATCCGTTTTCGAGGAAGATAACAAGGTCGTGGTCAAAGTCCTTGAGGATCAAGGCCGTCATGGGCTAGAAACCGGGGACCTAGTGACTCTTGCTCGACTCAAGGGCCTCCCAGGGTTGGAAACGAACAAGAACTATAAGGTCAAGGTAACGGGGCCTTACATGTTCGAGATTGAATGCGATGCCGGAAAAGCAATCACTATTCCAGGAGAACCCCAGCAAGGGTATATTACCCAAGTCAAGCAACCCGTCACGATTGCTTTTGAAACCTACGAGAAGCGATTGGCGGACATGGGAGAGTGCATGATGTCCGACTTTGCTAAATTCGATCGTCCTCCTTTGTTGCATAAGAGCTTTCAAGCGTTAGAAGAGTATCGTTCTGAGAATGCCGGTGAATATCCTACTCCGGGAGATGTCGATGCCTGCAAAAAGGTTGTGGATATTGTGAATGCAGCGCTTGCCGCAGCTGGAGAAGATGCATTGGTAGCAGCTCAAGAACGCATCGTGCTTCAACTCGCCTCCGGTGCCAAAGCAGTTCTAAGTCCCATGTGTGCCGCCCTTGGTGGTATTGTTGGACAGGAAGTTCTCAAGGCATGCAGCGGGAAATTCTCTCCGATCAACGGGTTCTTTTTCTTGGACGCCGACGAAACCTTGCCAGACGAACTTTTGCCTGCCGATGAAGTTGCTGCCCAGAATGATGGTTCGCGCTACGATTCTCAAATCGCTTGTTACGGAAAGGAGATCCAACAAAAGATTCTGGACCTAAATTATTTCCTCGTCGGAGCTGGAGCGATTGGATGCGAAATGCTGAAAAACTGGGCTTTGATGGTAGGTCACTTGGCAGAGTTTCTTCAAAAATATGTTTCATTTTCCTTCAAAATTGTTCATCTCATTTTTTCATTTTTTGATGCCTCTTTTTGGAAACAGGGTGTTGGATGTGGACCTAACGGACATATCACTGTAACGGACATGGATCGTATTGAGAAATCGAATTTATCCCGCCAGTTTCTTTTCCGCAGCAAGGATATCAACCACTTCAAGTCTTCCTCCGCAGCCCGTGCTGTACAGGAGATGAACCCCAACATCAAGATTACGGCCCTGCAAGAAAAAGTTGCTCCCGACACGGAACACATCTTTAGTGATAAGTTTTATGATAAATTATCCGGAGTATGTACGGCTCTCGATAATGTCGAAGCTCGTTTGTATGTTGATCAACGGTGTGTCTTTTATCGACTTCCCATGTTGGAAAGTGGAACGTTGGGAACGAAGGGTAACACTCAAGTTGTCGTCCCAGGTGTAACTGAAAACTATGGTGCCACTCGTGATCCTCCAGAGAAATCAATTCCTGTTTGCACGTTGAAGAATTTCCCCAACCAAATCCAGCATACATTGCAATGGGCTAGAGATTACTTTGAGGGCGAGTTTAAGCAAGCAGCCGAAGATGTCAATGCGTATCTGAGTCAATCTCCCGAAGATTACCTAGCTAGTCTACAACCCAACAACAGAAATGAAACGATGCAAAGTATCCGAAGAACTCTGGTTGATGAACGTCCTGTCACATTCGAAGATTGTGTTACTTGGGCGCGTCTGAAGTTCGAGGAACTTTTCAATAACCAAATTCGCCAGCTTTTGCATAACTTTCCGAAGGATCAGGTGACTTCCACTGGGACCAAGTTTTGGTCTGGTTCGAAGCGTTGCCCAGTTGCAATCAACTTTGACTTGAATTCGCAGTGTGAAGATGCCCAGATGACGAACCATCTTGACTTCATTGTGGCTGCGGCTAATCTGAGAGCCACCATGTACGGTATTAAAGGGCGTACCGACAAGGATTACTTTGAATCCACAATCAAGGATATCATTGTTCCTGACTTTACTCCCAAATCTGGTGTAAAGATTGCCGCTAACGACGAAGAAGCGAAGGCGAACCAGGATAGCATGGTCACCGATGACGAAGAAGCTACAACGATATTGGAATCCCTTCCGAAACAAGCCGATCTTGCAGGCTTTCAGTTGACTCCTATTGATTTTGACAAGGATCTTGACGACCACATGTTATTTGTGACGGCTTGCTCTAACTTGCGCGCCTTGAATTACTCGATTCCCACCGAGGATACACACAGGTCGCGTGCCATTGCTGGCAGAATCATTCCAGCGATTGCTACCACGACCGCATTGGTGACAGGATTGATTTGCATGGAACTATACAAAATCATCGGATCACCGCGCAAGGCGACTACCATCGAGTCGTACAAGAATGGGTTTTTGAACTTGGCTGTTCCTTTCATGACTTTGAGCGAGCCAACAGGACCCAAGGCTACAAAGGCAGTGCTGAAAGGCAAGGAATGGAATTGGACTGCTTGGGACTCCTTGGACGTCAACGTGGGAAACATAACGTTGGCAGAATTTATGGATTACTTCGAGAATGAGTACAACTTGGAAATCTCAATGCTTTCTTATGGTGTTTCGATTCTTTACAGTTTCTTTGCCAATAAGAAGAAAGTGGAAGAACGAAAGGCAATGAAGATGACTGACGTGATTACCAGTATTACCAAAAAGGAGTTTCCCGAGGATCAATTGTTTCTTATCTTGGAAGTAATTGCCAACGACAAGGAAACTGACGAGGAAGTTGACTTGCCTTACATCAAGTTTCGATTCCGATAAATGCCGAAAACGGGCTGTCAGCAACAGGGATTTTTTGGTGTAAAAATCAATTTATGTAAAGAGCGATTTACACCTACCAGAAATACGCGTGATATTATAACATTTGTTTTTCAAAACTTGAAAACGATTTGTAGTGGCCTATCAATTTTTTCTTACACTCTATACGAGCTGTATTTAAGGCGACGAACTCGAGATGAAGACAGTGATTTCGTACGATTTCAAGTAAAAAAATCCGTGTAAGGGTAACAGGCATGTCTATTGCACGAGTTTCGAAGTGAGAAACATGACGATTACAGAAGCGCACTATCAGAGAAAACGACGTTTTATGTTGTGAAGCGCGTTGGATCGAAAGCAAATACCTGAGTCGCATCGACGTAACCGGTTTGTCTGGATGAATTCGCATTCATACCAATGGTCATGTTCGGTTTTCCTGCACCGAAATTACCCGTCATCGCATTGTTCGACTTGGCCTCTTCCATGACATCTGATTCCTCCTCCTCCATTTGGTCATAGGGATCTGGTCCACAGCAGGAGCATCCGTTGCGAGATGCTTGTTTCATTGTCCAGTGCTCTTTGGGAAGAACAGTGTCCTGTAATGTTTTGTTACCAATCAGTATTTGCTTGTGCTGAAAACAACAATTTTCAATCATTTTTCGTTCGTGTTCCGATAGAATCACCGACGTTTCAAATGATCCATCTTCTGCTTTCTGTTCTGAATTATAGTCTTTCATCCATTCTCTGGCGGCATCAATTACATGTTCTTGAACTTTCCGTCCTTGGCAACCTGTTACATATTGCAGAAAAGAGTTCAGAGACCAGTACGAATCCGTTCCGTATTCAAAATCTCCTACCGGAGATGTTAGGAAGCCCAGCTTAAAGCAATAGGGCACATATCCGTTGGTTGTCTCTTCGTTCTTCAGTTTGAAATATGCGTCGATGCTACTAAGCCAGGCTTCCACGATTCGTGCTTGTTTTACAGGGACCTGTGAGAAGGCTCGCTCCATAGCACCCCCTCTACCTCCGAGAGAAGCATCATGACTCAGCGGAGAATTGGACGGCAGCGGAGTCGTTATTCGCAACGGATCCTTGCCCATGCCTTGGATTATTGATTTCAGATCAGGAATGAGCTTATTATGCTTGTACATGCGCTCTGCGTAGATGCCTCTTTTCACGGACTCCACACACCCATCATACGCAAAGACATGGCGGTCTTCCGGAAAGGCACTCTGAACCAGTGGTAAGAGTGTGCCTACTACAGCTTGGCCGGGAAGAGTGAACATAACCGTTTTGGCATCGCCTACCTTATGTCGAACACTCCATGCATCCAGTCGACAAAGAGCAAAGATAAGTTTTTGGATTTTCGATTTAGCGACGATGGAAGCTTCTGCCAGTCGAGCTATTTGGATCATCCAGAGGGGCTCCGATACGACGGCCACCCCAGATTTTGATTCTGTTACTAAAGATTCCAACATACTTGTCGCCTTTCCAGAACTGGCATCTGCTACAAAGCAGAGCGCTGTTGTGGTCAGTTGGTCTTCGAAAGCCTGCGCAAGTTTCAATCCAAACTTCACGAGCGGGATTTGATACAGAGTTTTGACATTCTTCTGTTCTTGCTCTTTGATTATGTATAAATAGAATTCTTCACTGGCATCTAGGGGATCTTTATCGATTTTCAGGGCATAAAATCTAGATTCCGAATCCTTCCTATCGACAATTTTCTTAATAAGGGAATCTAGTTCGTCCTCCTTCGAAATATACTCCGTGTGTTTCATGACTATTTCTGGATCATCAGTCAAAATTCGTTGACCACCTGCCAAGCTGTAGTCCATTAGAAGCTTCGCTCTATCAACGGACTTTTTCCATGAGTATCGACTCTCCGATCGTCGTTTTGTATTGAGTTGATCGGGGTCAAGAATCTTGCGAGACACCATGTCCGTCTGCAAGAGTACTAGTCCAGCAACAGCGGAAGCAGCTGAGGTTGCAACCAATGGGAAGAAAAGATCTGAAGCTGTCATCTTGCTATGCTTTATCAAAGAGAACGCAATCAATGCACGGAAACTTCTCCGTTGTTTTCTTGTGTTACCACGTTGAAAAAAAAATTGGTAGCTCCGGACGTGTTCGAGGGATTAGCCAAGCCGGAACAAAAAGCGTTCGTACGCGTTCTAGTACCGGTATCCCAATTTATGTGCTGGGAAAATTCTTCGCCTGTAAACGTTCAGTTTGTCGTAAAAAACTCCCCGAAAATCTGCGCTCGAAATTCTCTTTGAAGTCCATCCAAATTGATTTGTTCCGCGAAGATGCATGCCAATCCTCAAAATTCCCCATAACTTCTACCACCCCCCCTCAATTCCCTCAAATAGGATAGAAATTTTGGCCAGTCGGTACGACAAGAAAACCGACAACCTTCCTCTTCCTTGCCTTTTGATCTCGTTTGTTGGCAGTGACTCGGCCTGGAGTGGAAGCTAAATCTTGAGCTTCGAGTTTAATTCAAACACCGAGAGACTAGGCTGGAATCTTTAGCACCTCCATCTTTCATTGATCGAACGGCCCGACGAAGAAACCGAAGCCGTTGGAGAGGTACCAAAGATCGAAGCAACGAGTGAATTTTCACAACAATTTAAATGGCTGCAATTTGTAGAAAATTTCAAAGATACGTGCGAAGTCAGGAAGAGCGATTGGCTATTCGGATTTTGTGAAATATAGTCTCCTTTTGGGAATCGATGGAAGTCCAGTACCGTACACAGTTCCAACGCTCGTAGGTTTTTGGGGGGAAGTTGAAACTTGTTTTGTTCTTCACCCGACAAACTCGAGACAACGAGTGTCTCTGAATTTTTCATGCTACCGTAGCAACTGATACACTGAAACGAACAGGTTGAGAAAAAGCATAGTTTTGAATTCTTGCTTTTGGCTTCTCGAGAGCATTCATCTTAGTGAAGCCAAAATACTCGTACGTACGAGCTGTAATAGTAATTATGAGTTCATGGCATTCAGACAAGAAATTGTGATCGATGCCAAGCAAAAATCGAAAAATTAGTTCGTTCGGTTCGGTCAATTTTACGGTACAGTAAATATGACCGGACAAATGTCATATTTTTTTGTAGTACGAAACAAAGTACGAAATACTTCCTTCGGTACGTCTGTCATAAGTGTCTTTAGGCCTACCATCGAGAAAAAAAGCATAACGGAATGGCCTACATTTAGTCGAATTAGTCTAGAATATGACCTACGAGCCGTACGTTCTTACGATACACACTGGACTACCGTATTTTTAATTTTTAGGATTCAGGTTCAGCAAATGAGTTTAGGTGAAAATTTTACTTGCGACCAGTAGGTACTTCTAGTACATTATTACATTATTACAGTAATAAAGTAATTTGTTGAATTTTTATGAAAGCCGATAATGCATTGTGGAAGTATTGTCGAATGCTGATCTCCTTGCATGTCTTAACGGCATTCCAACCAAGCCACTGTCATTGATTCTTCACTTCACTTTGTGAAAACTCGAAGCTCCGGGTCCGGAGAGGAACCTTCGTGAATGCATTGATCCAGGTTGCAATACAAAAGTGGCCGCACAGAATGCTCATTGCTACTGTCTTTCTCTTCTCTGGCTGCCGTTTTTTCATCTTTGATCCCATGGTCGATTTCTTCCTCTCCGTGACATCTATACTTCGGACGACAATCATTGCATATCAGAATTAGCATTCGGCAATTATTGCAACGTGCTTCCTTGTTGTCGCTTGGCGAGTGGCCGTTATCATAATCGTCGTGAGGCTTTGCGCAAACCAAACACCGACCGACAGTCTCCCCGAAGTGAACAGGATCCGTTCTACGTGGATCAAATACCTTTGATTCATGCACAGGTCGGAAAAAATCGGTTGAAACAAGTCATTTGTTTGACAGAATAGCAAAGGCATGAGTTGAAAAAATGAAAACCGCGGATTCTCCAGAAGTTCTCATCAGAACATATTTTTCTTACTATTAGTTCTAATAAAAGATAACCGAACAAGGATTTTAAGGAACTTACAAAGTTTTTCCCGATAAAATAACCCGGATTCTTTTTTCCTATGGCACCGTCCTTTCTATCAACCGCTTCTTGTTGATTACTATGTGGTTCCTGGTTGTCTTCTTGTTGCTGTGGCTGTTCAGAGCAAGCCTCTAAATACCGCTGGATCCCTCCCTGTAACTGAAAAATTTCCTTGTCGGGATACAACTCGTGGACCAGCATGCTTACCCGTTCGCAACGAACACCTCCAGTGCAGTACATGAATATTTGGTCTCGTTCTTGCATATCTCGATTGGAGGCTAGCATCATGGGCAGGTCGGAATACTTTCGTGTGTTCGTCAATAGCGTTGGTGTTGAAGGATGGGCAAAGTGCCCCACTTTCATTTCGTATACGTTTCGAACATCTAGCAACAAAGCAGATTTTTTGTTGGACGACGAAGACGTTTCATCGAGCTTTTCGTTCCATTCAGATGCCGACAAGTGTCGTGCTGGGTTGAGGGGCTCCTCCATAACGGTTCGACGGAGGGAACTCATGTCAAGAAGTGGCGATGGATTTTCTAGTGTAGACGATGTCTCTTCACCATCTTGTTGTTTTTTAATGTCATTGTCGTTTCTAGCGTGGTTACTTTTAGGGGAGGATGCCTCATTTTTTGTTGACTTCACTTTATTTTCAGCCGAATATAACTGTTGCTGTTGATTGGGAAGATTTGAGCACCTCCGTGCTTCCTGTTCTTCGCGTTTGCGTTCCCGCCTTCGACGGTACCGTTCCGATTTGTTGCGTTTCTGTTTCTGTTGCTCTTGCTGTCCACAAAGCGACTGGTCAAAAAGGCCGATAACGTTCGTCGTTCTCTTGACCACGAGACGATCGAAAAGCTGCTTTTCGATCGGTAAATCCTTTCGCAGCCGGCAGTATTTGACATCCAAGTCAATAGTGGTTGTGTAATTATCGTCTTTGACGTTATTCTGCGCCTCCTCTTCCAGCTTCGTTTTTTCGTTGTTGTCAAGGATGCAAATAGTGCCATCCGCAGGATTACAAGTATCAGTCGTGCTTGCTCTTGCATTCATTACGGGCAGGATATTTCGGTGTTGGTGTTCGTTTTCACATATTTGATGCCTCGTTGGTGCCTGCAATGCTGTCGAAATTGCGCGCTCGTATGCTCTTAGGGTTTCGTGTGTTCCACTCAGAACGCCATTTACTCCTTCTGTAGAGACACGGATTCTCCCCTTGAGTCCGTGTTCCTCGCAATAGTTCCTCTGTATTCCAATGTGTGCGTCCACCTCCAATGGTGTCAAGTCGATGTAGATATAATACAGCGCTATCCTCCAATCATCGTGGCAAGATAGCGGGTTGTTCTCGTAGCCAACGCTCTCGACTCCCGAAGTTACAGTTGCATTTTCCGGTGATTGTATTCGTGCAGAATGATTGTCGCTTGTACACGCAAGCGTCTCTTGAGCGCCTTGCGATCTTTCCGCAGTCATTTCCATTAGAATGCCACAGCACAACTACAGTTCAGTGGAGTTTGGAAGAAAAGTGGACCGATGGATTGTAGAAGTAACAGGTACTTAGCTACAGGTACACTTCTGATCAATCACAACCAAAAAACCTGCGAAAACACCATCCACCATTCATCTTACTGTGGGACTCGGAAGTTTGAGTCGTGGACGAAGAATTTGGCTAGCTGGCTTGCTCGCAAAGAATGCACATTACCGGTATTCTTTTGGAAGCGGTGTGACATAATTTTAGCTTTCTGTACGCTACGGAAGGTCCATCTTTTTATTCGTTATTTCCCTACAGCGACCATGCCGACGACTACAACCGACCAATATTATTGCACGAACTTTCTAAGTAAAACATCAACTATTTTCATAAGAATGTTCAAGAACCGTTATTGTCATCAGAAGAGATCTCCGACATTTCGTGATTTTTCAAACGGATTTTAAGGTTCGAAGTTAGTTTCCGATACACGAACTCGTAATTTACGAAAAGCTAATCAGTGGTATTCTCTTTCTTTTAGTTCTTTCAAAGATCTACCTTAGTAAAGCAAAGTATCTACCAACATAACCTACCTACGGATCTTATTTCACCTGGGACTCACTTCGTTGAAAACGATTAAGTTGTAGAAGCTACTTTCTCGGATTAAGATCGAGATCATACAAACATTACACGCAACCTTTTCTCAGTTCCTGGCTTGTAAGGCGACGGGACAATTGCGACAGCGATACTGCCAAATAAAAATTGACAACTGCAATCAGCACAAATACGAATATGAGTTTCTTTGCGCTTGGACTTGGGGTGCTTCTGGTGCTCGACACCTTTTCCACAGTCTCTTCTGAAGACATTTTCATTAATCCATGGCAGCTTCGAGCTCCCAATATGCCGTACGAAAACCTCAATGCCACTATCAACGATACAATTACGTTTTTCTGGGACGACGATGAAAACCACACCGTGTACATCAACCCAACGGGAAACTGCGACGATACGGGGAGCCTTCTCATTGGTGATTCCAGTCCAGCAAGTTACACCTTCACGGAAACCGATGCTTTGAACACAACATTGGGGGATCCCGTGTTTTTTGCCGACAACCTTGCTCAACTATGCGAGTGGGGGATGCGATTTTCGGTAGATGTTTTTGAAGCCCCATCCGCATCACCAACCACATTTCCGTCAGAAGAACCAACCATAGCTCCCACCCTTTCTCCGTCATCGACTCCTACCACATCTCCCAGTGAACAACCGACCACTAGCACACCGTCATCGACTCCTACCGAAACTCTCAGTGAACAACCGACCACTAGTTCACCGTCGTCGACTCCTACCGAAACTCACAGTGAACAGCCGACCACTAGTACACCGTCATCGACTCCTTCTTTAGTGCCATCTTCTACACCCTCCGACCATCCGTCTGGGGTTCCGTCTGGGCAACCGACCCCAGCACCGACCGACTTGGCCAGCAAAGCACCAACGACTGCTCCAGTGCTCACTCGAGCTCCGACTGGTGCTCCTACTGCAACACCAACTAAGTCGCCAACCACCGCTCCGGTCGCTCCCGACGTACCAACCGAGCCACCGAGCGGCGGAGAAGTAGAACCACCTACATCGTCCGAGGGAGAACGAGTTTCGAACACTATCGAAGGATTGCGAATGGGCATGGCGGGGATCACGGAAATGTCTCCTTCGGCCGAAACGGAATGGCAAGAGCTAACGGCATCCTTCAGCTCCTCGTTCGTTTTCAACGATTTGAAAGACAAGGTTTCCAACTTTGTTACTACGTATGAGGTGACTGGTGTGAGCCCAATTACGGTCCAGCAAGGACGGCAGCTTCAGCTGCGTGCAAACGGAAACTCTCGACACCAACGCTCTTTGCAGGAACAGGGCATCGTTGTAGAATACACTCAAACTGTTGAGTACAACACGGTGGATTTATCAGAGTTCACTCCCGAGTTTCTGGTGACTGCTCCGTTTGCAACACAAGCAGAGAGAACTGCATACGTGACACTGTTGAAAACTACGTCGACCACAGACTTGGCTAATATTAAGGGAGTCTCTGAAACACAACTGCCGGTTACCCCCCCTCCTACTTCTGCACCCGCGCAAAAAGATGCAATATTGACTTTACCCGCGATCATCGGAATTGCTTGTGGAGGTGCCGGTCTCCTAATCTTAATCCTTCTCTTCGCTATATACTGTAGAAAGGGGAGCGACGTTGGAGGCGATGCCAAAAGCGCCGATGAGCCACCACTCCACGTGGACGTCAAGGAAGATGAAGTCAGCACATTGGCGGGTCCCAATGGACCTCCCACGTACGGAGACCAGAGGTACGTTTGCATCTTCAATGGGATCAATGAGATGCATTATTTAGTAATCGATTACTGGTTGGTGAAGCTACATCACAAAGCAATGCTGTGTTTCCTATCGTCTCGTTCCAATATCGATGCGTGTTTACTTACATATTCTTGTTTGAATTTGTCGAACGACATCTTTCACCATTTTTAGTGTTGCTACTATGGACTACGATTACTCAAAAGCTTACGGAGGAGCCGGCGACACATCTGTTTCCTCGGCTGGAGGGACGTTTGGATCCAACACACAAAATCTCTCCCTTCCTGCCAATGCAGCAGCAACCGGTGCGGCGCTTGGGGTAATGGGTGACGATGACGAGTCATACAATACTAAATACGACGATCCCAGAGCTGCCCAGGGCATGGAAGAAGTCATACACATCTTTGCTCCACCAGGCAAGCTTGGTGTTGTTATCGACACCCCCGACGATGGAGCTCCTGTGGTGCATGCAGTGAAGGATACCTCTGTCATTGCCGATCGAATCATTGTTGGGGACAAGCTAGTGGCGGTCGACGACGAGGATGTCCGGTCTATGACAGCCATCAAGGTCTCAAAAATGATCAGTCGAAAGGGCGCCAACCCGTCCAGAAAACTCACTGTTGTTCGCACCGTTCCGTTAGAATAGGACGCAGTCGAATCAGTGAACTAGCAAAGCAATGCACGTCATGACCATCGACGCCACCACTTGTAATTTGATGGTGATTACCACTGTTTTTGCGCTATATGTCATGTGTTTATCCGAAGTTCATCAAAAAAAAGTTTGCAGGATGGATTCGTCCTGGTTCGCAATGGCAATTACGAACCAACTGAAACATTTCAAATTCAAGTACAGATCATACGACGAATATGAAAACTCAGAAGCCATCTTGTTTCCGTAGAGGGATTTGAATACAAACTAGAAAAAATGTAATATCGAACTTCATATACTCTATTCGACGAAACGAAAACTTTTTAACCCAGACTTTTGAATTGACAAGATCAGTTGCGAACCGAGATGACTATTTCTCGGTTATGAATGGTCATGTTCAAAGCGCCTATGTCACCGAAAGTTCGGGAACAATTGTTCGACCACAACATTCTACAATATATATTATAGTTTTTCGTGCAATACGTTCGCACGGCGTGTTGTGTAAAATTCTTAGCATCGATCACAACCAGCATTGCCTCGGTTCCGTTTACTCCTCTGCTACCCGCTCGGTAGCATTCTACACGCCCACCAGCAAACTGAGATCCCAAAATCAACGAGGGCAACCATCCAGCAGTAGTACCGGATTTGACTTCGAGCGGACTACCAAGTTTGCACCGGTTCCGTGCCATAATACCACAGCAAGCAACAGCAAACCAATACAACCACTAGTGTTCCCGTGATCCAACCGAGCCGCACGTTTCCATTTTGTTCCGCTCCGCTGGCACGCGGAAGCCACGGTATCGTGTTCTTTGTTCGCAGCAAGGTCCGGTTGCTGCCGCAATAGCAGCAGAATCGGAATCCGCTATCCAATCTCGTTTTGCGCTCCAAATTCCGCACCCGGCACCTGGTGGTCCTTCTTCATCCCCCGGGTTTCGTAGACCGCGTCGACCGCCATGCGTTTCTGCCTGCTGCCCTTGCCTTTGACCCCGACGTAGGTGACAATCGTCGCCACCTCGTCCTCGTCGTCCAGCCTGAGCGAGGCAAAGTTGTCCTCGAAAAAGAGCGTGATGCTGGAAACGTTCTGGAAGCGTCCGGCCGGGCGCAGCGGGTAGTCGACGGTCCCCTCCACAAAGTGGTCCGGGGGAACAAGGTCAACCGTGCACTGGGGGGCAAGCTCCCGGGCCGTGTCAAAGTCGATGTCGTCCCGGTCCGAAAAGACCCGTACGGTCCGCGGGGCCGCCGACGGGAAATCCTCCATCACCCGGGGCTCGCTCCGGACCGACAGGTGTGTGATGGTGACCGCCTCGGTAAAGGGAATGTACAGGAGGAGCTCCGGATCGTCGTCCTGGGACCTTAGAAAAGGGTCCGACGTGAGGCGCTCCTCGTGCAGCTTGAGGACGTCCCGGCCCATGTTGGGGAGCTCCTCGTTCAGGCATTTCACCCCATCGAAGTCGATCTGGGGCCGGAGGGACAGGCCCAGGTCGTTGTCGCTGTGCTCGTGGTCGTGCGAGTGGCCGTCGCAGCTGTGGGGTTTCGGAACCATGGTGGGACAAACGTGCTTAGGATATGCGCTGTTGCCTGGCAGAAGTACAGTATTTGGTACTGTATTTGCTTGTCCGGTTGTGGAGTACGAGTAGTGCTTCGTAATAGTGTGTGGAGTGGGGGGATCCGGACAATTCGTGGCTGCTTCACAAGAAGCATTGCATCGGAAACACCATCACATCACCGTACAGTATGACCCCTGGCGTAAGAAACGGTACTATTGTACGTACTCGTACTAGGTACAGTACCTGGTACCAGAAAAAGTAAAAAGGCCTTTTTTTCCTCGCATGTGTTCCAACGGTACAGTTCCTACTTTCTATAGGTAGTATAGATACTACACTAAGGCACGAATCAATCAATCCATCAAACGTCTGTTTTTAAGGATCGTGCCCCACCATGTGCAAGGGCGCCATGAAACATTCTTCTGGTGATGTTGTTTCCGTTCACTCCTTTGACCATCCGCCGTTTTTCGCTCTCACTTCATTTTTTGTTCGTTCCAATAGAATTTCCCGAAAGGGAGCACTGTACGCGTAGGATGTGCTCGTTGTCGCATGCTCGGTGGTACGGCGTGCTAAGGAGCGCTCTGTGTGGTGTCACGCAACGAACGAAAAGAAAGAGTTAGAGTAACCACACGGAACAATTGCATCGACGCATCGATTCGTGGATCATTTGCGGCTCCTTCCGCCAAAATTTAGTGATACCGTACATACCCCTTACGTTCGTGCCTTTCGATTTCGATTCGATTGCCGTCGTGAGGTTGTTGCGAGTAACGAACAAAAAGAAAAAGCAGCAAAAAACCTCACACACTTGCATGCTTCCATTCCGATAGTCTTCCTAGCCATCGTTGCATATCTTACACTCGCGCACACACAACCCACCAAGCAAATCTACTAGGCCACAATGGCGGAACCCACGATCTGTCTGCGGAACTGGCACAGCGGGAGGCCTCTCTCCCCGGGTCACAAAAAGAAACCAAGGGGTTCCTTCCCGTCCCCCTACGATCGAGACGACCACGAAACAAGGATCCGGCACTATCCCCTCTCCAAGCAGCTGGGGGAGGACCTCCGGCGGGCGTGGAGGAACCACCGGGCAGCCACGGCGATGCACCAGAGCTGGACGAGGAAGGACCACCGGCACCTCCCGGACGATCGGACCGCGCTGATCGGACCGGAAGCACCCCGGTGGCGCGCAAGGTAACCGCCCAGGCCGGCACCGGATCAAGGGCGAAAGCGAAACGAAAGCGACAGATACTCGAGGCCTACMCACGAATCCAAGCAGACGGAGGTACTCGTAGAAGCAACAGGTGTTTGCTTGTCCCTCGGTTTTGATGCATACCAAATTCGATTCTCTTCTTTTCCATTCGATTCGATTCGATTTGATTCGATTCGATTCGATTCAACTGAATTGCAGAAACCCAGTACAAGGTGTCTGCTCCCTGAAAAAGACGAAGACGTTCACGAACTCCATCCAGGAGCTCGACAACCACACGCAAACGGGTCGCATCGAGCGAGATCTATCCGGCTTGAAACAGAGCAGTGGCCGTGCTGTAGGTTTTGTTGATTGCGTGTAGAATAATTTATAAATTTATTTATGAAACCGGGCCCGTGTCTCGTAAAAGCCGCTATGGACCCGGGGTATGGATTGAACTGAACCGAACCGAACTTTTTGGAGTCGTACTCGAAACGAATAATAGCAAACCAATACAATCACATAACACAATAGAGTGGAAACCATGTATGCATCACGCTCGACATAAAAAAACGCAAAGAACCGATCGAATCGTTCCGGTGGAATCCGAACCTCCACACGGCCGGCGCACCCCCTGGTCCCTCGGTGGCCGTCGCGCAACGAACACGGTTGTATCGGATCTCGTCTCGTCTCGTCTCGTCTCGTCTTCTCTTCCGCAACGCACCGTCCTCGCCCGCGTCACCCGATCTGGGTCGTCCGGAGGATGGTCAGCTTTCTGGACGGATTGGCGCTCTTTCGGCTAATCAGCTTGGAAACCTTGATGGCCGACAGGGTCCGGACGTCCTCGTCGTCCACCGCCACCAGCTTGTCGCCGACCTTGACCTTGTCCACCACCACGGAAGTGTCCTTGACGGCGTGGACCAGGGGCGCACCGTCGTCGGGCGTGTCGATGACGACGCCGAGCTTTCCCGGGGGGGCAAATATGGTAAGGATTTCCTCCTTGACCTTGGCCCCCGGCCGGAACTGGTTCTCGTACGTCCCGTCCTCTCCGTAGGGTCCGAGAGCGGCGCCCGTCGCGTCTGCGTTCATAGGAAAGGAAATGTTCTGCGTGTTGGACCCAAAGGTACCCCCGGCAGAGGAGAGGGAGTGCTCTCCGTTGCCGTAGGCCTTGGAATAATCGTAGTCGACGGTACCGATGCTGCGGGAGCGGCAAGCAAGCGGCAAACAAAAATGGTGGTGAGCGAAACAAACACGGCAAAAGCAAAGCAAAGCACAACACAACACAACACAACACAACACAACACGGCACCCACCTTCGTTCTCCGGCCCCCGTGTTGGGATTGGTAATGGTCGGCCCCGCGAGGGTGCTGACCTCGTCCTCCTTGATGGAGATTTTCTTGGGCGGGGAGTCCCCGTCCTCGTCGGGCTCGGGGTCCCCGCTGCCTCCCCGGGAGTAGATCGCCACCAGGGCCGCCAGGACCAGCACGGCGGCGGCCCCGCAGGCGATCCCGATGATGGCCGTCGTGGACAGGCCGCCCGACTTGGGGGTCGGGCTGGGCCGGGGCACCGGGGTGGAAACGGGCGCTTCCGTGGGCGTCGTTTTGCTGCCAATGGTGACGGGGGAGGAATCCGTGACCGCCTCCAGCACCGGATCGCCCGTGGCCCGGAGTCCCTCGACGTAGTTGGCCCGCTGCTCGGAAAAGGCAAAGGCCGAGGTCGCCAGGTATGCTTCCGAGAATACCTTTCCCGAGGCATCCCGGTAGGAAACGACCTGGTCGTACGTCACGACAACCGAGCTTTCCTGGAGCCTTCGGTCGTTGGGTCCGCCCCGCGTGTTTGGTGTTCCGTCGCCTCTCCCCCTCACCAGCTGCCGGAACCGCGACGGCGAAAGGGCCTCGTGGTTCGTGACGGCAATGGACGTCACGAAGGAAATTCCCCTGTGGTCGCTCTCGTAGTGCGAGGTGACAAAGGCCTCGGTCTCGCCCCTCCAGGCCGATTGGGTTTCGTCCGAAAAGGCGTCGGCCCCGGTAAGGGTCATCTGCAGGCCCCGCATCGCCACCCTCGTCGTCCCGTCGCTTCCATTGTCGGCGATCGTGGGAGACACGGTTGGCCCGGGCGTCGCGGGAGCGACCGTGGGCTCCAGCGTCGTTGGGCGGTCCGTCGGGGGAAAGGTCGGGAGGGGGTTCGGCGGGGTGGTGGGCGTGAGCGTCGGCGAAACGGTTGGTGAATCAGTTGGTGAAGCGGTCGGCCTGGCGGTGGGAAAGCCCGTCGGATCCGGGGTGGGGGACACCGTGGGAACGTCGGTCGGAACGACGGGGGGCGCCCAGGTCGGAAAGTCGGTGGCCGCGATCGTCGGCTCGGGCGTTCTCGCCGGTTCCGACGGGGCGATCGGCGCGAAAGTCGGGGATTGCGTCCGGAACTTGAAAAACTCGGGGGCGGCGGTGGGCTCCTGGGTGAGGCTCACGGCGGGGGTGTTGTCCTCGTCGTTGTTGTTGTCCAGGGAGATGACGTTGACAATCAGCCGCATGCCGTACTCCTCGCATCGATCGTCAATGTCGCAGGCAAAAAAGAGGGATTTCCCCGCGTCTTCTGGTTGAAAGACGTACTCGGTGGGGGACTGGTTCCCGATGGCGATCCGACCGGTCTGCGTGCAGTCGTTTGTGGGGTGGATAAAGACGTTCTGGAGATTGTCTATCGTCCAGATAAAGGTGAGCTTGTCGCCGACGAAGGCGGTCTGCGTGGGATAGGGGGTGTTGTCGAACTTCATGGTCCAGCCGGTGTAGAGGGTCCTGTCTTGGCCCAGGACCACAGTGGCAAGCCACGACGCGGCCAGCAGGACGCGGAGGATTCCTCCGGGGGAGTGGGAGAGAGACACCATCGCCGGGTGGTGGGGAGGAGCTCGCGTGTTGCGCCCGGTGCAGTCGTGCAAAATAATGGGTGTCCCGCCGCGTTCTCGCTGTGCTGTGCTTTGTTTTGTGTTTTGCTTTGGATTATAGGCTTCGAACAAAATCACCCTTGGTTCGGGCTGGTGGGTGATTCGATTCGTGCTTTGGAGCGGTGTTGTGTGTTGTGTTGTGATGTGGTGTGGTGTTGCGGTTTGTGGTACTTTCTTGGGTTGTGTTTGAATTGATGCGATGGCACCCTTTCTTGCGGTCGGTGGTGACGTACCGTACCGGAGGCAATACTATCCGTGCACCAAGAGTCAATGAATCAATGTGGAAAACCCGGCGAGAGTGCCGTAGAAGCAGTTCCTTTGCCCGTACAATCCACGAAGCACCGTACGTTTGTACAGTAAAATCAGGTAACGAACACCCTCTCATGTATGTGACAAGGGAATCGTACCAACCGCACGAGAGACAAAAATAGTGCCGTTGGAGGCCTAGCTGATCCAAATTTGGAAAAATTGGAATAATTGTTCGTTCATTCCCTCGAAGATCTTGGCACCGAACGACCGGTGGGAGTAGTAAGAGTACGGTAGCATTGCACGAGTTCGTACCCTAACACTAAAATCATGTACCGTACCACCGTACGTCCTTTGTTGTACGATCCAATACGAGGAAGGGAACGGAAGCGACGGGGGCCGGAACACGAGTTCTCGTACGAGGATACGGGAATCCAACGTGGTGCATTGCCCGTGCAGCGACTCGGTTCCATTCGTGCCAAGCGGCCAACGCCAAAATTTCATCGAGAAAGACGACTGGGTGTTTGATGGTGCACCGGCGAGGAGAACCAAAAAATCGATCCGGGCCATGAGGATACAATAATATACTATTAAAGTATGTATAACATGTACTAGTACTATGATAGGATAGGATGATGGAAGGAGGAAAAGGGAAAGCGACTTTTGATACGTTCATACAGTACCAGGTAGGGTACCGTACGTACCGTACGGTAGGACCGGAAAAGAAAAAGACACGCGTTGATTGAACATCATCCTCGATCTTTCTCAAAACAAGAACTAATACTCCCGTGCGTTCTACCTTTAAATATGCAATAATGATACCGTAAACCTGCCAACAAATTCGATGGATTTGCGGAATTCAATTTAATCCAATTCCATTCCAATCCATTCCGCACGAGATGTCATCACGACCCTTCCATCCACCGGAACAAGCATTCGGCACGGATACACACACAGAGAAGCGCACCAAAAAACGCACAACCGCTCTTCACCAAATCAAGCCCACCGCGAACAACCAAGCGATGCCTTCCCGTGCAATGTTCGGGAGGAGCAGAATGGGACGGGCGCTGGTCCTCTGGGCCTGCTGCTTCTGCTGCCCCCGCGCCGATGCCTTTCCCACAGCTCGCCGAGCGGGGGTCGGTCGTCCACGGGCGCTTGCGCAAAGGCACGCCGAGGCACGCCCCGGCGGAGGCACGGCCGGTGGACGGGGGGCCGGCGATGCGAATGCGAATGCGAGTGCGGACGCCGATCCCGATGACAACGCCGATGCGCCGCGGACCCACCGGATCGAGTTCGTCTCCMCGCTTCTGGACTACGGATACCCCCCGGCCGCCCGCGATCTGGAGGCGAGGCAGGCAGGAGGCACCAACGAACGGCACGAAAAGCCGATCCTCCTGTACCTGCCCGGATTCGACGGGACGTACGTCTGCCCCTTTCTCCAGTTTCCGGAACTCGGGACGGAATTCGAGGTCTGGTGCATGACGATCGGGATGGAGGACCGATCGACCTACGACGAGCTCAAGTCGGTCGTCCTCGACGTCCTGAGGACCGACCTGGCCGCCGGACACCGCGCGGCCGAAGCGGTTCCCGCGGGGGCCTCTTCCGAAAGCCGCTCGGAAGGCGAGAGCGAAACGGAAGAAGCGGTGCCCGGGGAGAGGGCCCCTGCTGCCGGGGGCTCCGGCCGCTTTTCCGGCCTGTTTGGCGGGAACGGCAGAAAGGCCGGTGCCAAAACGACCGGGCGCCCGGTCTACCTCGCCGGGGAGTCCTTTGGGGGGATCCTGGCGTCCGACGTCGCCCGGACCCTCCTGGAGGAGCAAAACGCCCCGGGCGGGGCCGGCGGAGCTTCGACCGTAGATCTAAAGGGCCTGGTGCTGATCAATCCCGCGACGTGCTACGACCGGTCCCAGCTGGCGACCGCGGGGCCCTCCGTGGCGAGCGCCCCGAGCCCCTTCTACCTCCTGGGCCTGTTCAGCAAGCTGGTGCCGCTCTTCACCGACGAGTTTTCCGTGGAGCAGCTCCTCCTCATCCTCTCGGCAAAGGGCCTCCCCAGCGTCATCGATACCCCGCGCCGGGAGGCCTACATGGGCCGGGTCGCCTTTAGCCTGCCGACGAAGCTCGGGTACATGTCGGCCTCGACCCTGTCCTGGAGGCTCGACGAGTGGCTGAAGACCGGCTGCGCTTCCACGAGGAGGTCGTCCTTCGGGGCCTTTCCCGACTTTCGGAGCCTCATCGTCGTGGGAGAAAAGGACAAGACCCTCCCCTCGATCGCAGAGGCCGAACGGCTGGCCAACAAGGTGATGAACCCGGGCAAGACGCGCATCCACGTCGTCGACGGCGCCGGCCACGCGTCGACGTGCGGCAGCCGGCTGGACCTCGCGGCCGTGATCAGGAACTGCTTTCCGGAGCTGCAGACCCCCAAGGGGAGGCGGAAACCGTCGCGGAAGTCCCGCGGGGAAGACCCGGAGGAGGAACTCCTCGAGGACGCCAACCCCAAGCGAACCTCCATGAAACCGGAGGCCGCGGGGGGGTCCGGGCCGCGCTTTGGCATGGAGGAGCGATACGACAAGGCCGACGTCGGCCTGAACCCGCTCTTCTACTGGTCGAAGAGCCACTACCGGGCGGTCCGCCAGGACTCGCAGCAACGAAAGGTTCGCGTCCCGGGGGAAGCCCCATCGGTCCCCTACCAAAAGGCCGTGTACACGGTGCAAGAGTAGCCGGTCCCCACTTCTCCGCTGCCCCGACCCACCACGCTCCATTGAAACCAACAGCGGGCGGATCGTTCAGAGTCCTCCATCGCTCCCCCGACGGGTTCGTCACTCCACAAGAAATGGACGCTACAAACAGCAACATCAGCTCAAAAAAACAAACACTAATGTTGTCGTCAATCTTTTGTCGGGCAATTCTTCGTTCGGAAATGAACCGAACGATTGCACCGTTTCCACGAGTCGATCCACGAACAAGGACTATGCGTGTTTTTGCTTCCATGGACATGACCGACCAGGCAAGTGTTCCTAACAAGTTAGCGGCGCACAACGCAACCAAATGGAGTGCTTAGTTTTGAAAAAAAGTACTTATCTTCCCAAATGGTTTAAATTTAGAGTACTGCCGTGTTACAAATTAAATCGAGCTTCTACTAGATAAATTCCCGTCGCCCGTCAGTAGGCCATCGGTTATCCGTAAGATAGAGAACCGCTTCATTCGCATCGAGTCTTTTACTCGACCACGCGCTTCGAACCATTGTATTTCTTGGCGAATTTCTGGTTTCTCAAGAACTTGGGGTCCATTCCTCGTGTGGAAACGAATCGGGTCCTCTTGGCCTTCTTGATCCCGTTGGCGTGAGCCTTGTGGGTGTTGTTGTGTGCGCACGTGTTCTTTTGCTGTAGTGGAAAAAAATCAAGAAAAGTTTGGGAGACCAAAAATGTGAGAAGTTGTTGGATAGAGGGAGGGCCTTCGGGATGCCTCCGGTGGCATGGCAAATCGGAGCACGGTCCGGTGGGTCACGAAGGACTCCGTCGTTTGGGAAAGAAACCGTGTCTGTTTCACCAGACGCAGCGCACTTTCCAGTCACAACCCCGTGCGTTCCGGTTCGGGAAACGTCGCAGCGCAATGTGGCAGCACCGAACCTAGGCACCATCCTGTTACCGCACGTCCTTTCCACGGATTCGTTGCGAACCCATCGGCTCCCTTAGAAACGGACGGACAACCGGCACAGTCGGTCTCTGCCATTGCCGCTGCTCGTCATTAGTTCCCTGTCATATCGCCCAGCCTACAAAACAGTTTGTTCCGTTTCGTTACTAACCTTGACCATGGTTGAATTCTATTTCGATTACCTATATCGTTCGGACAGTACAGAGGGAATGCTGCTAGCGCGAGGGAAAGGAAGCCGTTCCTACTGCGAGTGTTTAGGCACTCCACCGATGCGTACGGTAGACTGCTGCGTGCGGCCAAAAACTACGTGCTGTTGCGCTGGGAAGCGGCGACCCGAAAATAACACTTACTGCTTTACTACTTTCAAATCTGACGAAGGACGGACGAATACAAACCATTCGTGAATGAACCCTGACCCCCGGTCGTTCCAATTCATGACCGAAATGCCGGCTCGGTGGGTCACGAATGGAGTCTCGAGAAAACCTTCGTTGTGTACAGGGAAGTACGTATGTATGTAGGTAAGTAGAGTACGTACTCGTATAATTATTGGATAAGTAGTACAGTACTTTCGTACGGTATTTTTGTGCTTTCGGGCCCACCTCGCCTCGTCACTCGTCACTTGTCTGTCAGCCCTCATCTCTTAACGTACTAGTAGAAGTACGTACCTATCTTAGGGAGGGGACTATCGATACTAATATTACTACCATTATGGGCACTTGAAAACATAGTAATGCAAATTGAATAACTGTGATGCAGTAGGTGGTCCAGTTTTATCTTCAAATCGAAAATTGCGTAACCATTCCTAAAAGACGTACCAGTAGAAGTTAAAGCGACACTACACTATTATGAAAGAAACAACGTTGACATCTTACGACGGTTTCAACAAGAACACTCCTAGAGATACAATTATATCTTTGTACTGGGTAATTTTTGCGTCTAAAAACATGCATCTTATAGGCGAAGAGAAAACAAATACCTTCCAGCGAGTCCAATTATAGAATGATTTTTTAAAATCAAGCTTTCTCAATAGACTCCAGGGAGGATTTTGTAGGGAACCAAAAGACAATATTCTTCATAGTACTTTCCGTACTTCAAATGGCACTTTTTGGAATCCCGTTCGGCGCGGTCGATAAGAAGGTAGGTCAAAAACGCAGCGTAGCTAAGAACTAAGACTCCGTTCTGGAGCGGATTGGCCAAGAGGCACCAACTCCATGCCGCAGTAAGCTCAAAAAAATATTGAAAGTGGCGCGCCACTCCCCAGAATCCGCTGGCCAGCAACAAGGATGTTTTCTGAGAACTTTCTCCGGTCTTGCGGTCGATGGTCGTGTAAGTGGCCTTGATGAACGAAGGTTTCTTTCCCCAGACGAGGGCTTCTCCGTTCGTGGCACGGAAGACATCGCGTTCACGATCTGCCATGTAGTTCAAGACGACTCCGGTCATCGACAAGATGAACAGGCCCGCCGCCGCCGCAAAGGAGAGACCGGACGGGTATTGAACCAAGAAGCGCGAATGAAGGGTGTAGACAGCCGGTACCCATACCAGGCACCCCCATTGAATTTCAAATCCAGCGCGGTCTACAATGATATCGATCGAGCGCATGTACCCCATTTCCCACAGGAAGAATTTGAACAGATATAGGTATTGAGACAGGGCCGAAAAGAAAAGCCCCCAGTCCATGGTGTGTCCGTGGAGAGTGTAGGATCTGTAGCAGAAACTCAGGCCGGCCAGTTGCCAAAACGTCATAGAAAATCGGCAGTTGACGAATCGCTTCAGATCCAATCCAAAAACTCGTGGGTAGAGTTCTGTCCCCCAAACAAAATCTTTGAATAGACTCCCCGAACTTCCCGAATCTTGAGTGGAAGGAAAGTAGATTCCTTTCAGAGTCAAAAAGACACAAAATGCCAAACCGAAAAGATTCAAAAAGGCGACCGAACCGGGAAATAGATCGTAGATAATTCCAAAGTCATAGAGATCTCCATAACCAATATTGGAACCGAGATAAAATAGAGCAGTATAGATAACGCAGTGCAAGACAGCATTGTCGACATACTTGGGGATGTGACCCGTCAATGTTTCGGGTCCACATTCGATCTTTCCCGGCAAAAATCGTTCCAACACCAAAGCGACGCCCATAAAAGACAGCACGAATTGTGTCGCTGGCAGAGTTGGGACAACCGACAATCCACTCTTTACAACGCTGGAAGCGCATCCAGCAGGATCACTCACACAGACGCCCAACATTACCGTGACAGGATGGGTGGCATATCCCGGGAACTCAGTTGCCATTTCTTCGCTTGTCAAATACGCCAGCAACAATGACAAAAAGGGAGCGGCAACAAGCAGACCGAAGAAGAAAGCGTTCTGCTCGATACCTCCCTCTACGAAGTTGGTTCCATCATCCTCGGTTAGGGTTGCAGTCTTCTTATTTTCAACGGCCTTAGTCTCCTGCCCTGTGGCGGTCTTTCGCTGCCTCAAACCATCGGTTGAAACGCTCATGGTGGAATCAATCGGCAACCAACAATATTTTAGGTTATGTAACGAGCTTGATACAGTGATGTGAAACTCCAAGAGGGGGCAAGTGCTGGTACCGTAGCCTACAGTACGGGACGAATGAGTCATTTTTTTCCTACCATTGCGCAGTAGATCACGGTGTTACCTACCGTACCGTCCGGTATCTTTCACAACGAGAAAAAATTTAAAAAGTTCTGTACTTTGTATTCCTAATGATTGTACGAGATGGTACTGACACCGTAGGTTTGTGTGCAATCCGGGATTCGTCGTCATTCATCCAACCATACCGTAGATACGAGTACGAATACGAACTTCCTCGCAAACGGTCATCCCGAAATTTGTTGGAATTTGAGTCTTTTTTGTCCACATGCATGCAACATGTACACATCAGTCTCTGAAACTTCTTTTCTCTTCCGTGCCACACTCGAAGTCACAACTGTCATTATTATAACTCACAAAGGCTATCGAACAAGAGATCCCGTCTAGGAACACAAGAACATAGCTTAGCCGTGCCAGTTCAAACCGTTCTGGAGAAATCGACGCAAAAATTCCGCTACTCGCAAGAAACCGATCCGTTAGCGACGAAAACGTGCCAGACGTCGAAAGCAGAGTCCTTCGCAGCAACACAATGGACGTAGAGCTAGGAGGAATCGGTAGGTCGGAGAGCAAGGCCTACCCAAGGAACCACGGGAGTTTCTTTGCCAAAATCCAACTTTACATGCGCCAGCATACCTTGGCCACGGTTGCCACTGTTGGCTTTTTGGGCTTTCTTTTGATTGTTTCATCTGATCAGTTGAATGATTCTGGTATTGGACTAAGGACGACCTCGTCTTCGATGGGATCTGCTTTCAGCGGTTCTCTCCACGGTGGATACTTCTCTGTCGCAGACTCAAAAATAGGCGAAAACCAATTCCGATTCGCAGCCGTGACCGATCTCGATCAACTTTCGTTCATCAAGGACGCAAAAAAACCGTCTTATCGAAGTCTCTTGTTACCAGGGACCATCACGTATCACAAAAATAGTAGAAAATACACAATGGTCATGGAAGATGACGCTACCCGCACGCTCGTGACGAAACACAACGAAGGTGGTCGAGGAGCCGAATTTTCCGAACTGACCGTCTTTGACAACCGTCTGTTGACCTTCGACGATCGAACGGGAGAGGTATTTGAAATCATGAACACAAAGGACGGAAAAGATAGCTTTGTTGCACCAAGATATGTCATCACGGAAGGAGAGGGTGATACTGACAAGGGCATGAAGTGGGAGTGGTCGACTATCAAGGATGGATTGTTGTATATTGGAAGCATGGGCAAGGAATACACTCGACCGGATGGGTCGATTGAAAATGTATGTTTTGATCTTTGTGTAGTTCTCTTGTATTCTTCTTGCGTGTAGCTTCTTCGTTCCGAAGATTGAAGCCGAAAGCTATACTAACGATGGCATGCTGTTTCTCCTTCTCTTGCGTCCTTTTCGTATTCATCCAAAGGTGAACAACTTGTGGGTTACCATCATGGACAATCACGGTGAATTCCGCCGCATCAATTGGACAGATAACTACAACTTTGTTCGCAAAGTGTTGGGTTGTCCTTCACCGGGATATGTCATCCACGAGGCAATCCGATGGTCTCCCCACATGCGCAAGTGGGTCTTTATGCCGCGAAGAATATCCAAAGACGTTTACGACGACGTTGTGGACGAGAAGCGTGGCTCCAACAAGGTGGTAATTGTTGACGAGCAATTCAGGAATGCCGAAGTCGTTGAAGTAAAGATGGCCGACAAGGATGGCTTGCATGGCTTTTCGTCGTTCGCCTTTGTTCCTGGTACCAACGATCGTCACGCCATTGCTCTGCGGAGCGTGGAGGAAGACTGCGCCATAAATTTGGATGACTGCAAGCAACGTTCGTACATTGTGATTTTTGATGTCGTAACAGGCGATGTGTTGATGGATGAAGTGAAGATCAAGGAAGACATGAAATTTGAAGGAATCGAATTCGTCAATATGTACACGAAACCCCACCTAAGCTAAAGGTTCGAAACGGCCGCCAAGATAATCACTGGGATAAATGAGAATTACACACCTCAATAACGCGCATAAATTCGAAACGAAAAAAAAATTATAAATCAAGTTCAAAAAGCAAATACTTTGATAGCAATCTACTTTGTATTCACTATAACTTAGACCGTAGTGAAAGTGTCGAAATTGCTGGTCAGAGCTTTCCATCGCGGTGATCTTGGACCATTTTGATGAATTCCGACTTTTCCATCAAACCGACCGCGCTCAGCCCGGCCTTGCGTATTGCTGCCTTGAGCTCCTTGACACTCATGTCCTTAGGGTCCTTCAGGGTTACCTTTATTGACTCGTCGAACGGCAGCACGGTTTTCAAGAATGCGAGGGCATCGCCGAGTTCCGAAGGGCTGACGGTATGCGGAATCGGGTAAGAGTTGAGGCTGTAGTTTTTGACGCCTCGTTCGGTCAATATAGACTTTGTCTTTTCCGCCATCTGGTACTGAACAAGGGGATCCGCACTCCCGTGGCCGTGCCACACGGGGGTGTCGGTCTGCGATAGCTTCAACTTAGAGGCGGCCGGTAGGTATCCACTCATGACAAGAATGCCGGCTAGGGACGACTCCAGCTGCAAACCGGTGAAGAGCGACAGGGCACCCCCTTGGCTGAAGCCAGCTAGCACCATTCTGGCAATCATGAAGAAGCAGCGAATCGAACAGTGTGAGTGTGTCAGTTGGTCATGCCGTTGGGAGCCCGCGGTTGTAATGGAGGATCGAAACAGTACCATTCCAGTGAAAAACCAATGCGATGGAACGACCTGCTGGTCAATGAACTACCATTCGAGCCAGAGAAATGCTACCACCCTGCGAGTCGATTCTGTCCAACTCCAAAGAGCGCCGCATCACAATTCCCGAAGCATCCCATTGTACGTACCTCGAATACGGGAGGCCGGTTGCATCGTGCTCCTTCTGCAAAATGCCCGCAATCCGGGCCCGTGACTCGTCGATTCCGTGGCAGTTCTCGTTGGACCGTTCGTCCAGTCCCACGATGTCGTACCAGCTGGGCATGGCCATCCCCATGTTCATCGTAACCTTTTGGGTGGGTGCGGTGGGCAGGACGATCTTCAGCCAGGGCATCTCCGACGCGAACTGCTCGGCGACGTCGGCAAAGCCCTCCGCCGTGTCCCCCAGTCCGTGACTGATGACGAGCAGTCCGGACTGCTCCGCCTCGTTGCGCGGGGAAACGGTGATGGTCCCCGATCCATCTCGGTCGGTGACGTGTGTCTTGCGGCAACTCATGGCTCGTTGCTGCTGGTTGGAATTACTGTTGGCCAATGCACTTGTCACTCCACTGAGCGACGGGAACAAAAGCAGGCTGGTGGCGGCAGCGGTGTACAAGGAAAAGAATCGGGTGCTTCTTCTGCGACCAGGAGGGAACGATGCCGGGCTTCTTGGTGACGACGACAACGACGATGGTATCTTCTTGCTGCGAGTCGATGCGGTGATGATTCGTAGGGTCTTCATGTGCACATGAATGGAGTCGCGGGACGAGTAAAGTCCCGATGCGATGCCGGAAGCCTGCTGATGATGGTTCGTTAAAGATGGCAGAAACGGAAAACCAACGACATACCGTACAACACGTTGCAGGTACGTACGGTACGAAAACTCTATGCGGATCAAGTTCGAACCTCTAAATTATGTCCTCTGGTACGAACTACGTACCGGCCGGTACGCTACACTAGGGTGTGCACCGTCTACGTACGCGTAACGGTAGTACGGTATATCAGGATAGAGTTTGGGCTCTTAGGATATGATGATTTGATTTGCGTTCGTCCAACGAGAAAAAATCGTTCGCGAATGAGCATCAAACTCGGGAATCAATCATCGATGCTACGGTATGATCCAAAAGGAAGCCGAACAAATCAAAATCCACGATCACGTGTGATACGAAACTCTGTACTTTTACTTCGTAGGAACCTACGAAGGGATGCATTATGGTACGATTCGATCATCTCATTATCGGACATTACCACATCGGTTCTCGATAGCACCCAAGGGAACAGAAATATATTTCGATTGGATCAACGGCAATAAGCGTCATTCTATCGTAATGAGCAATTCTTCCTACAAGGCTTCCTCCCCGAGCTACGGCAACAGCGGCGGCGACAGCGGCCTCGGGCTCTTGTTGGGAGAGAGCCTCCCCGACACGATCAAGATCGAACACGTGTTTACCCTCAAGTTTTCCGACAAGTGGGACCGTCCGCTCCGAAAATGGATTGAAAAGGTCGTCGACGGGTGGCTCAAGCTCTCCCCTCACTACGCGGAATCCTTTCGGTTCATTGCCACGGGAATCGGGTCGTATTTCTTTTTGCTGGGGGTCTCGAGGGTCGTAGCGGCGAGCAAGATGCCCCGGGGCAGCGGCAGCAGGAGCAACGAGGACGATGCAACAACAGCGAAAAAAAACAAAACGAAGCCAAAAGACAAAAAAAACAAAGCAAAAGAATCCAAGACTACCGCCACTGCAAAAAAAGAATCTACCCCCGACTCGGTGCTACCGAAGAGCGACGCTTCTGTTACAGCTTCCACGAGTGATTAATAAAGCGCACATTCATTGAATAGAAATAGCATCGGAGTGATTGAGAGCTATGAATAGACTTTAGTAGTTTAGTACAGGGTAGTTTTTTCTTTCACGATTCTAAAGGTTTCTTGTGAAGATTCAAAAAATGTGAACAATCATTCATGTGCGATACGGTACACACGACTGACTGGGTGATGCGGATCGAAATCGTCGTTTTGTATCAATGTGCAAGCATGCTAATAAAAATAAATCAGATGCAGTACGGTAATGTAGTACTGGCAATTGTGGCACAGATCCACCCTTTACAAATCGTCCCGCAGAATTTGATCGATTGCGATCGGAAGTCGCTCCAATGTGTTGATTTCGACCGTGACGTGCTCTCTGGCTGCCTCGTTCATTTTGATTCGGGCCTCCAACTCCGACTTGGATGTTGTCGCCCAGGTAGGTTGTTCGATGGAGGTATCGAACCGGAAGGGCGCAGTTTGGCCCATGCTCTTTGGCAACTCTACTAAAATTGTCTTGGCACCACAAGCCGCCGAACCGCCAACATCAAAGGCGAGATCGTCTCCTACGTGGACCCACACCAGATCGTCGTATGATTCCGGCCAAACCAAGGGTTTGATAGCGCTTTCTTCCGAACCAATCCCGGATGGCTTGGCAGCATTGATACCGGATTGTGCTTCTTTCAGAATGGCGTATTTGTGTCGAGCTGCGTCGTAAATCCAGGTCAATTCGGGGGTGCCTTCGACACCGTTCAAATCGGCAAAGAATTTTTGTCGGCCTCCTTGTTCGTCTTCCCACGACATGCAAAAATCAAAGTAGGGTGCGAGCGTAAACGTCATCAATTGCGGGTTGGCCTTTCCGTCGGTCACGGCACCAATGATTACATCGGGGTGTTCCTTTTTGATTTGTTTGAGAGCATCGATGACGCCCGGAAATATGTGGCGTTCTGCAGAGTGGTGGCGCTCCATTTCCCAGGCGGTCAATACCTGCTGAACAACCGATTCAGAAACCGCACCCTTTGCCCACTGCTCGGCGGGCTTTCGTACAATGGGTGAAAGATCTTCTACCGGTGTGGCCCAGTCGTCCGCGCATTCTTGCAATTTGCGAGCCAAGATGATTTTCTCCATTTCCCGTCGAATAGCAAGTTCTCGGACTTCAGTGTGGGTCCTGTCGTCATCGTTATCGGGTCGTTCAGTAATTTTGAAAAAAATCATCCAGAAATTCAATTGTAAGTTCAAACAGGTTTGCATTGATACAACTAAGAGAAAAAGAAATGGTAGATTGCGAATGAAAACTGCATTCGACCAACACAAACCAGAACGATGAAAAATAAACAACCAATCAATCTCAGCCATTCCTGTTTAAACTCACAACGCAGCTGCCTTTTCGGGATCTGTCGCCGACAATTCATCTCGAATTATCTTTCCTGTATTGACCATATCAAAGGCGTCGAGTCCCTCGAACCCGAAGCGTTCCATGGCTGTAACAAAGGCGGCTGTAATGACAAAAATTAGTACGACATGAACGCATTGCAAAAGGTAAGAGTCGATCGAAAACTCCAGGTCTTTTATGCGACGTGTGTCACCTCAGTAAACTCGACTATGGCAAAGCCGTGCCCGTCGCGTTCTCTTGTGTTTCGTCGTATGGCCTGAACCTTGATGAAGACGACGAAATCTCGACATGCCATCGAATCACATCAAAGCGCACATACCATTTGCATCGTTTACTACTTGGTCGATCGGATATAGTGTATCGTCCAAATCAAAAGTCAAGAGACCAATATTTTGGACTGTGGGCTTGGAAGAAGCCGATGAGGCATCCGAAACGGCGGTTTCGGCGTAGAGTGTTGACGTCGATATCGTCACGGCATGTGTTTGGCGATGATTGCTGCTTCGAGGCACAAAGGCATTCGTGACTCCACTGAATGCCGTGATAAGTTGGAAGAGGGTTACTGATAATTTCATTGTCTGTTGTGTCAACTTCGTGAACGGTTGTTCAATATTATGGTACTTTGTGGGGATGAGGGTGGGATGTCTTGTTCGTTGTCTCGTTATTTTTTTTAATTTATTTCTGGTTGTGATTTTTTTATGGGATCTGAGTTTGATGATCATCAGCAATTGTGCCTAGCACTCGTACTAGTACCGTTCGTACTTCGTACCGCATGAGATCACATGGAGCGAGATCTATTCTTGTCTCAAAAATCAAATTGAAGATTGATGATCGCATCGAAGGTTTGCTGTCAACGGTCGGTCAATCAATCAAAAAACTTCGACACGGTTCTTTTCCACTTGAGAGTTCTGTTCTCGTTACAATGTATCCGTACCGGTACAGACGGTGAGAACTCTCAATAAGGCACTGGTGTGAGTACGTACGTACCGTACTTACCGCTACTATTTTGCATGTAGTGAAACCTTGGCGAAAAGAACTTGGTTGAGGGAGAGGGGTCACAATGGCAATGGAACAATGACTCTCTAGTTGATTTCTTCTGAAAGAAAGAACGTGCCATATGTCAGAGCGTACGTCAGCAAAAATAGGACTAAACTAGATCCCAGTTGTCATTTCTCACGACTGAACTCGGTGGACACATTTTTTTGGAAAATCGCTAAAAATCTTTTATTTTGGTGATGTTGATCCCTAGAAGTGGGAAAATAGCGACGAAGCCTTCTATTCTACCACCACACTAGTACTATTTTACAGACCGGGTGCGGCTAGCTAGGCTATCGGTTTATTCGTTCATTCATTCTCTACTTATTGAGCGGGAAGTTTACACAATAATCGTTTGTCAAGTAATACGACAGCCAATTGCCACTTAACGCACGAGGAGAGAATGCTGATAATAGGGGAGCGTATCGATTAATAGCGGACTGTTGCATGCCCCAAATGTTCAATCGGAACAATCGCAGTGGTATAGATAATGCAGTTCGACACCCAAAATCCGCGCGGCTAAGCAAGCATGGGGAGACTTCCGACAATGACTTTGACAAGCAGGCAGAGTATCTGATTCCTGCGGAAGTGCGCATGATCAGCGGATGCCACTCCCTCGAAACTTCAGCGGATGTAGCTAACATCTATTCCATCGCAGAACCGGGCAAACTTCCTTCGCCAGAAGGCCGTGCAGGAGGAGCGTGCACCACGGTGCTTTTGTCGATTTTGTACGATGCGCAAAAAAAGGGAAATTCTGGTGCCGATTCCGTTACATTTCAGAGGCTGCTTCTGGAATTGCGTCGACGATTGGCACAAACCGGCATGTCGCAAATACCACAATTGACGAGTTCGCGGCCACTGGAACTGAAGGAAACTCCTTTTTCGCTGAGAAGTAAAGGTCCTATTTTTGGAAATGGTCGATATCAGCAGCAGCAACGACAAGGAGAAAGTGGAACGCAGCGTGCCCTTTTGGTAGGAATCAATTATTACGGACAAAGTGGTCAGCTATCGGGATGCATCAACGACGTTTTGAATGTGAAAAAGTACATCTGCAAATACCAGGGCTTCCTCGAGAAGCACGTGTTGCTTCTCATCGACGATGGTCGTCACCACCATCCGACGCGAGAAAACATCATCCGCGCCTTGCGCCGTTTGGTCGAGCACAGCAAGCCGGGTGATAGCGTCTATTTTCATTACAGCGGGCACGGCGGGCTACTGGATCCTAACTATTGGGATCGCTTTAAATCCCGCGTGTCAAATAAGAAATACGACGAAACACTCTATCCCGTAGATCACGTAACATCGGGACAAATCAAGGATTTCAATCTATTCCATCATTTCGTCAAGCCGATGGCAGCCGGTGTGACCGTGACCTGCGTAATGGATTGTTGCCACTCCGGTAGTGTTTTGGATTTGCCCTATTCCTATAGACCGACAAACGACGGTACGATTCGAATGAGGCAATCTATGGATTCGCTAACGAACCTAACATATTTGTATATTTTGGCAGGTGGAATGCTTCCTAGTCACGGGTTTGAGTCCATCGCTGAAAATCTGGAAACTAAAACTGGCGAGGCATTGGACTCTATTCAAGGAATAGGAGTTGAGGAACTCTCGTCTGATATAGATGGTTTTGAAAATGTCTATACCAATAGTGGCAACATTTTCAGTGATACGACAGGCGACAATATTGACATTGTTGGAACAGCAGGTGACGACGGAAATATACCGGTATATTCCAGTGATAACGGATTAGTTTGTGAAGCTGGGAGTGTACCCGGACAAGGCATTACCGATGGCGATGGCGGAAATGCTGGTGTTTTTGGTAACCAAAATTCAGACGGCAGTGCACAAGATTTCTTCGTCGCCGATGACTATACTTCAGCCGATTGTGACTGTGGAGGAGAGGATTGCGATGGTTGTGATGTGGTAGGGGAACTTCTGAATACCATGTTTGAGAATTCGTAATTGTCAGAAGAAGAATTTGGCTGACGAGTTTTTGTTACGGGTAGTTCGAATATGGCAAGTTGCCGCTCGCTTTTGTTGATGAATCCTTACCAGCAACCATTGGGCAAAGTTCAGCTCTTCAAATTTGGCTCATGTCGTAAGAGAGCTAGACCAAGTTAGTTCCCATCTCGGAAGCATACCGGTATTATGTTGTTGTGTGCATCAATTAACTAGCGAACAATTGATCTAAGTTTTACGAAGTTCCTACAATCGTGTACGGTACTACGAGTACTAGCTACTACTAGTAGTAGCTAGTACTGCCACCACTTCCAATATTCTACCATAGTAGTAATAGTGTTAGTACAGTATACTAGATGTAGTAGTACCTACTGGTTGTAGCATCTAACATTCTATTAGTACTACTAGTAGTACTTTTGGTAGTCCTTTAGACCGACAAGTACTATTAGAACTACGGTACCTAGTATTAGTAAAACATGATGGGTTTTTCTTCACCAAAAATAACCCAGGTATTTTTAGGGGAGGAATTTGAATAGGGGGATGAGAACGTGTAGGTACTGGAGGGCCCAGAGTGAGATTGGATGACATCACTTATTTGCAAAATCACCACTGAACCAGATCTTCATTCAAACTTTCACTTTCCATTTGTGCTGGGGAGTAATCTAGTGGAATTCTTCCTCACCACCTCTAACATCTTGCTGCTGTGAACAGAGAAATAAAGACCTTCAAACAAACCACAGTCTTTCACAGAAACAAGTACGGAAATGACACTGAATAATAACAAAAGTCTGCAACCTATTTAATCTGAAACCACAGCTTTGGCATCTATCTCATGCTCACTTATCCCCAAAGGATCCTGAAACATTCATATCTGAAGCACCTATCTGCTCCTTACTCTCATGATACTACCTCCAAGTATATGAACAAACAATTTATGCAAGCATAGTATGGAGAGCATCTCTCACATCTACCTCCTCCAACATGCGCCCTATCACCCAGTATTTTTCAACCTTGCCTCATAGTAGTAGGAAACAAGAACCACTGGAGAGCATCACACAAGACAGGCTGGTCGTTGACACATACTCCAAGAAGAAGAGATGACACAAACTGCTTACTTTGCCAGAGAATCCTCTGGCCTCTGGTATGATAAATTGAAACCTAGTACAAACACAATTTTCCACCTACTAACAAACTAACCAGCCCAACAACCTCCTCAATGACTCGTCACAGCACCTCCACATCCAGTCCTCGGAGGGAAGTGCCATCCCTTGGAGCAGCTACTAGGAGGATTTGATGACTGTTTGAACAATGCTTTCAAGCCGTGAAGTATTACTAGAAATCTCTGGCGATTCCAACTTTCTTGTTACTATGGTGTGTGGGACACCAATAGAGATAACACAAATACAGAGTAAAACACTACAGATGGGTTGAATCACTAATATGCAAGAAAAATCATTCGAATCGCCCAAATATATTGAGCTTATTTCTCTCAGGAGGTACAAAAAGGACACATATTTAGGAACAGAGAAACCAGAAGATACTGTGTTCAGTCGTACACACTACCTGTATTTCCTGTGACGTCATCTGTTTCCTCTTTTTTTTCTTCTGAGTTTCAACGATTACATCACCCGTCACCACGGCCCAGTTCCCAGATGTTCCCAGATGTGTGAACGAAAGAATTCCCGTTTGATGAGAACGGCACGACAACGCCGGAAAAATATTGTTACTGTAGTGCGGTACCAGTACTTCCTTCTACTGTACAATACAACTGTGGAGCAAGATCATTCGTGCTTCATTTTGACACGTCGAATATTTAGTCACCTTTTTATCTTCACATAGCGTGACAAGCCGCAAACCACCTCATACATGATGTGCTTGCAAACATGGGAATAATCGATCTTCTCCAATCCTCTTCGTTTTATCCGATACAGTATGTACTAGTGCTTAACTTTCCCTTACTCGAACTCTGTCTACGGTCTTTTGATCATAAATTGAAAAACCCTTGAATTCATAACAAAACGAAACTAGTTACCATGAACAGACTTGCTGCCCGCACCCTCATCCTCTCGATGCTTTTTGCATCGAACGATGCCTTCTCGCCAGTGCGATCAAGTCAGAGACAATCAATTGCGTTGTTCGATACTACCAGTACACCAACCGTAGAGGCACCAACAGAAGAGGCGAGTGTACCAGATGTCGATTCCTCGACAGCTCCTGCGTTGGAGAAGAAGAAAAAGGTCAACAAGAACGCCGAAGGTATTTTTGCCCCAGCTGTCCTTCTGACAAAGGACATTGTTGGAGAAACCGAACTCAACAAGCTGAGAGCCAAGATTATCGGTTTGCATTCCGACGTGATTGGAAAATTCACAGAAACAGCTCAGTCCGAATTCGGAAATCAAGTGCTGAAGGTCCTGTTCACTCTTGCGGACAAGAACGGAGATGGCACGATTGACGAAGAAGAACTCGCAGAGGCCTTGCAATCATTGGGATTTGATTTCCTGAAGGAGAAGCAAATCGCCGGTATTTTTGCGCGTGCTGATGCTGACAAGAACGGGCAACTCGATTTCGAAGAATGGCAAAAAGCGGCTCCCAAAACACTCAAAACCTCTTTGATCAAACTTGCGAAGAAGAATGGTCATGATTTGGGATTTTTGGCTTAGGGCAAGACATGAAACAACATGTATCCACCCAAGCAATAGATAGAATCGAACCCATAACAATAGTGTACAATAAATAATAGGGAAAGTAATCATTTTAGGAATTGACTTTAACTCTTCGACTTGTCATACTGTGGTGCTTGAAGGAGTGAAACATGAAAAATGAAGAAGCTTCTAAAATTGATCTCGGCATGGTGGAGTTTAGGGTTCGGTCTAGCTAGCAACGGTATGCAAAAAAACGAGAGCGTTCCTCTGTGATATTTGCCTTGGGAAAAGCATTATTTGCAAATATGCGCAGACGAGAGAGCAGTTATGTTACCCTCACTTGAGATGAACGACTTCCAACTTGCTCTTTGATGAGAAGAACTAAACTAAACGTTGGTTAACAATTGGGTCGCTAACACAAATAGTTATTATGGTGCAAAACCCAAGTTAGTGCCAAGGTAAAAAGTAACAATCTGAAAAAATTTAGAAGCTTATCAATGAAAGCACTGTGGCTGTTCTGGAATAGGAATGGAATTCATTGATTTGTTGTCTATATTAAGCATTGTTGATAGGTTGTTTTTTGTAAGAAGAGGAAGTGTCCTTACAAACAGACCAATGGAAGTTCTTCTAACTCTTGAAAACACAACAACATAAATTCAATTGCTTGTGGTGTACTACTACTAAAACCAAGTTGAAACCAACACATTTTCCAAAGATCTTCCCTGTAATTTGCAAACAGTTCTTGTATTGGCAATATTGACTTGGAATTGAGTTAAATGTATTCCCTTGTGACCTATGTGAGTTTGATGGGTAATTTTAGATTCATATTCTTGCTGGGGACATCAAAATTTAGCTGTTGCTGCAGTGTTTTGAGAAGTCAAAGTGACCATTTTTTTGAGTCTCTTTCTTTGAGGACCATCTCTATCCTTTCAACTTTCTCAGCATCTACTCTTTGAACATAAAATCCATCAATGTTGATAATTTCACAATCCTAGTACCAATATTTCAGTTTGACAGACTTGAAAGTACAAATGGCTCCATTTGCTTTTGATTTTTCAACATCTATGTTGTCATTAATCATGACAGGTCTGCCAACATACAATTTAAGCATTGGATCTATCCTTTTGGAAGATTTGGTTCCACCTGCAACTATATCACTATCTGATGCCACAGTTACTAGTAAGAAATATTGCTGAAAATCTGGCATGTCTCTGTATTTTCTTGTTTTGTCAATCTCCTTTCTTAGGTTCTTTGAGGCCTTGATTACAATGGTGTGATCTGGTAATCTGACATTTAATTTTTTGTGTGCTTTTTAGAAACTCAGAAAATATGCCATCATTGATTGCACACTTGTCTGCATTGTTGCTGTATATTGCATAAGAAATATCTTCTGGGAGTTTACAATTCTTGAATTGATGATTTGAACATGCTCTTCTTTCAATCCATTTATTCTCAAATGATCAAGAAGCTCCCCCCAGATTACATCATTTTAAGCATGTGGCTTGTTTTAGGTTCAAGAAATGCGTTTGTTTTTTCTCTCCAGAGATAGAGATCCTTTTTATCAAGAGTGAGTCTCCTCCCACTGGTTTGAGTTGGTTGAAGTCACCTGGGCCCTCCGTTAGTAATTTTTTTAAATAAAATAGTTTCCCATACACCCTGCAAAACAAGGAGAAACAAAGAGAATTTTCTCCTTGTTTAGAAGGGCAATATTCTCATTGTTTCTCATTGTTATAAAAGAGAGAAACTAAGAGAATATTGCCTCTCCTGTTTTCTCTTTGTTTCCCATTGTTCTTTAAATAAGGAGAAACAGATAATACTGTCTGGGCAATGTTTGCATTGTTTAACCAGAGTGAATATAATCTGGGCACTATTCTTACTAGTATTTTTTCATGATGAAATAATGGGGGTAATTCCTGTTCATACAAAGAGAAACAAAGAGAACATTGCCCAAGCAATATTATCTTTGTTTGTTTATGTTGAAGCAAAGAGAAGCAAAGAGAATATTTCTTCCCTTTGTTGTTTCTCTTTGAATTGTCAATTTTTTAAGAAAGAGAAACAAAGATATTATTGCCTGGGGAAAAAACCTATGGGAAACCCTGATCTTGGTTGGTGACTGTCTTCCTCAAGAACCAACAGAGGGCCCAGCAAAGAAAATGGAGCAATTGAAATTATATGACAGCTTGTCATTTAATAAGTTCAGATACTGGTTCAGCCAATGTATCCAACTGTTTGATGCTAGAAAGTGATATAATTTTAACAATGAGCACACGTATCTAATTTTTCCATGCATCCTCCTGTATTAGATTGATAATTATTTAGATGGCAAGCTTTATATGAAAGTAATGTTACTAGTACTGACATTAAGTGGAGGACAAGCAAAGTCCTCAAACTTGTAGGTTGGGAGTCTTTCAGTATAGTATTGCTATCTGCTGCCTTGATAGGAATGCTCCTTGTGGTTGACAAGAAGAATCTCCTCCCACCACTGGTTTGAGTTGAATAAATTAGTCCTTTTTATTTTCCAGAACCCTGATACTATAAACATGTGAACTGTTCTTAATTGTTAATGGTTGCCTTGAGATCTTGTATGTGGTACTTGTTGCAGCTGTTACCAATCTTCCCTTGGAGTCGTCCCTCCTTATCTTTAATTAATTACTTTCGTATAGCGTGGGCCAAGCATTTCCTGCCAAAATTTTTGTACATTTTTTAATATCAGATATACAGCGCTGTATACCTCTCAATATTTGTTAACCCCCTATAACCCCCTATATCACTGAATCAGTCTTTTTACTGGGATTCAATTCATGTGCTTATCATTGTTAAGCATCAGTTGGGGACAAAGTTATAAGCTGTTCAACTGAGTTGACTGTCACTTAATGCCCTATGTGTTTTTTGTACTGTGCGTCAATTTTGGGCCATCTGATTACCGTGTAATAACTAATGGGATTCAAAATTGGCTTCTACTGGAGTTTACAGCTGGCACATGCAGAACTTTTGAATCCCACATTTGTGCGACCAAATAGTTTTCCAAATAGTTTTGCTCGCAAGTGCAAACTGTAAACTGCAGTACAATCCAATTTTTTAATCCCACAAGTCATTACATGGTAATTAGATGGCCCAAGAGGTACGATATTATCTTACATTTGCTGGCCAACTCTATTGTACGATATGAATGCACAGATTTTCAGTGTCAAAACACAGGCAGCAACAATCTAGTAACTACTACTATGCATTTTCCAATTTTGTATAGTAATTCCTGGTATTTTCCAAGATGATTCCACCAGTAGATGATGTGAAGTTCTTGACAATTTCCACATCATTGTTCCTATCAGAATGACAGTAGTATCCATATCCTCCATTTTTCTCATACCAACTGACTTTCCTGGGATTGGGATGATACTGTCTTGTCTTTGAGGAAGGCACTGACAACTATTGGGTTCCTAACTATTCCCACTGGAACCTTGGCCAACTGTTTTACAGAATGGTTTAACACCTGCTATGTTAGTAATCCAGAAGAATACTCCAAGAGTCTCCATATGGCAAAACATTATTATCAGACTAACACCAGTTGGCATCATCTTTTCATGGACAACATTAGCCACCAGCATTGAATCTCAGATCTAGTAGATCTTAATTAGGCTCCTGTTCCCTGTGTTTTTTTAGGAGCCTCCTTGTTTCAAACCTTTCTGTATTCATATATTGCTCTGTTGAAGCAGAGCAATAGAGCTTTCCATGGTCTCACTCTTCTCAAAAATCATTCCTTACACTAAGCATCATTAATAAAGGAGAGAGTCGTACACTTATTTGTCTCCGCCCCAAACTTGTCCAACTGAAGCCACATTGTTTCCTCCCTGATTCTGAAGGTTTGTTCCTATCCGATGTCCACCAATACTTCCTTCTCCTCATACTACTACTATGAGAGTTTATAAACAAAACCTAGAGGAGTATTCAATATGGTGCTACTATTGCTACTAGTACCAATACCAATCTGGTTCCTCAATACTTCTTCCCTCTATTGCTGACTACTAATTGCAAGAAATGACCACTGGAGAGCATCCTCAAGATATGTTCTTGGTCTTTGATACATACTCCAAAAAGAGACAACAATACTTTAAATCATTTCAGCATACCTTCTTAGTATATGTCCTACTCACTCATTCTTCTCCACCAGGATTCCTATCCCTCACTGCAACTGGTACTTCTTGTAGCAGAAGCAACCTTCTTCCACCAGCAAGAAGTGATGGTTCTAGCTTCCCTAAGTCAATGCCTCTGCTAGCTCATAACATTAAATATTTGTTCTAGTTATATCAGTATGCAATCTTGGCTAGTCTTGGGGTTTTGCCCACTTCTGCTTTGATGATTGATTGGCTTGTGGCAGAATTTTTCAAATCTTGGAAATGGGATATCTTTCATTATGTAAAATTACCAGTTTGATTTTGGAATGACCAATAATGACAATTACTCCTCATTGGTGTAGTAGTAGTTGCCCCATTTGCTGGTGGCTAAATGTTGTTGTAGAGGCAGTCAATGTTGTGATTGATATTGCTATGCTTTGTGATGCGCTTCCCCAACTTCTTGCTGGAAAGGAACTGGCAGTATTTATTGTAAGACTCAAACTTGCTCAACAAGTCGTTGGTTGGTGCATCATGCCTGTCATAGCCATAACTATAGCCAAAGCTGGTTCTTTTCAATGTCTTAATGGCTGATCACTCTTGGGAGGATTTATGTTGTTGTTCTCTTACATTTTGCAATGACCAATCACAAATATGAATGATTTCTTATAGTCTTTGGAGTGCAGGGAGCAATTTGGTACTCTTAAATCTTGGAAGGACCAATCACAAATATGACTGACTTTTTATAGTCTTGGGTGTGCAGGGAGCATTTTGGTACTTAAATCTTGGAATGACCAATCACAAATAAGTCTGATTTTGTACAGTCTTGGGAGTGCAGGGAGCAATTTGGTCCTGTTAAATCTTGGAATGACCNAATGACCAATCACAAATAAGTCTGATTTTGTACAGTCTTGGGAGTGCAGGGAGCAATTTGGTCCTGTTAAATCTTGGAATGACCAATCACAAATACTATGACTGATTTTTTTAGTCTTGGTAGTAATTTGGTTCTCTTAAATACTGGCATGTCTGATTGTCACAATAATGACTGAATGTTTAAGTTAAAAAATGAATAATCTGTTTTTTGTCAAGGTACTACTACTAATTGATTTGCAAAATTGGGATACTGGTATTGACATGGATTCTACACTAAAACAAGTATCTTTTTCTTTCTTTGGTAAGTCCAGGGCTGTGAGATTTCTTCAAGATCAGTGGCTACTAAGATAGTGGTAATAGTAGTACACCATAGCCAATATGAGATGCAAAGAGAAACATGAGCAAGCTGGTGAGATTCATCTACTTTGTGCCCCCAGAATCATTAATTAGAAGTTATATTATTACTACTAGTAGTCATAGTAGTAGTACCTCAGGATGAGGAGTAGAGAGTCACTTCAACTGTCAGTTACAAAAAATGACTTACAATGGTGATCAGTCTGCCTTAAGGTTGATATACATGTTCAAGAATGCTCCTAGTACTAGTACTACTAGTCACAACAAAGGGCAGAAACACCTCCAAAAGAGGAGCACAACCAATGCTCCTCAAAAACCAGCAACAATTAACAAGATCATTTGGTACTACTAGTAGAGATTTACAAAAACTGTTGTTAAGTCAAGAATAATTGCAGTAGCTTCTTTATCTGGAATGATTGCTGCTGCTGCTGGTTGGCTGTTGACACCCAAAAGTGATACTACTACCACTACTACCACTTCTATGATTAGTGATTGAGCTGGTGGGCGGTGGTGCTACCAGCAATACTATTATTAACTTACCAGCCTGCTTTTATGTCATTTACATACTAATTGTAGTCAAGAATGAACCAATGCAGCTAACAGGATAAAAGATAGACCAAGTAGTAGTACTAGCAGAGCCCATTTTAATCTTTCATAGAACCAAGCTCCAAATAGCATTCAGGATGGTACATGCTTCATACCAAACTTACCAAATGGTATGTAGATCTTTGGAATACAGTATTATTGTTCTTATTTTTTCATATAACTACAGTATGGTGTACTTTTGTACTCCTACTACTTTGTACCACTACAGTTTGAGTTAACATATGTATGAACATACCAGTATGTACTACTAGTAGTATTTCCTCCTCTGGTCCAATATGTTTCATTGTAACCTGTTTTTTTGTCCTGTATATATGTCTCCACTTTTACTTCACAGTTTGCTAGTTAGGTTCCACAAATGACCTTGAAGAATTCTCACAGCCCTGGACTTACCGAGGAAACAAAAAGAAAATTGTTTTTAGTGTGGATTTGTGTAAACCCTGGTCGTATACCATTTTTTGCAAATAAATTAGTACCTTAACCAAAAACAGATTATTCATTTTTAACTTACTAAACATTCAGTCATTTTTGTGACAACAGGTCATTCCAGTATTTAAGAGAAACAAATTGCTCCCAAGACTCAAAAAATCACCAGTCATTATTGTGAGGATCAGTCATTTTCAGACCATAACTTCAACCTTACTACTACTAGCAATAACTTAATTCTTGCACTGTAGTAAGTACTTCCTCCGATCCCCTATGAGTGTCATTATAACCCTATTTTGATGGTCTTGAAAGAGTGTCATTGTCTATACTTAACACTTATCAATAGTTTTAATTAACCTCCAATAAAATATGACTGTGTACAACACGTAGAATCAGTACTCAAACTAAAAATGTGCATGCGCGTGAATAAAAATTATTCTTGCACATGAAATTAAACAGTCTATTAACATGGGAAACAATATATTGGCAATGGTATTGGGAACCTCTTTTGAACAAGAATGACCGATAGAAGAAAGTTCTCCATACTGAAGAGAATTACAGCCTCAAAAATGTGTCACTCTTAGCTAGCTAGTATCAGCATGTGCAAGTATCGGCGTATCAAAATGACCAGTAGAACCCAACTGACGGTATTTTCATATTGATAAGAAAAATGGCCCTCTTTCAGTAAATAGCGCAAGTATGTCATACACTTTCAATTAATACTTGTATACATTTATAATAGATCTATTGAACAAAAAAAGAAGCATTGAAATTGGCCATATTGGGCTTATTCCAGTAGTAAAGGTGCAAACTGGACACTCTTAGCGGACCGGAGGAAGTATTTGCGTTAGCGAGCCAATTGTTGTTTTACGCGTAGTACTCATAACCTATCTTGGATTCGATCCATGCATTAGGGTTCGTATTTGGTACTCGTACCTCTTATTCTCTCAAGAGGATTTACTGTATTTCGGATCGTCCGTATTGTGCCGTATGGTACGGTACGTAATCGTAACGTACCACCAATAGTTGCAGATGATCGTGATTGGCAGCTGACACGGTTCTCCAGGATCTTGTGTCTTTTTCACCAGAAGGTGTTAAAGGGGAAAAAATTCTGTAACAAGATTACTACATTCGTTCAGTTCGGTACAGTACCGTACGGTATTCATCGTGCAAGGAATTTTTGGCAATCAGGACAAGTGTCTTCAATTAGATCTCCATTACATCAAGACGAAGCACATAATCAAATCAATTGGATACTGGATATTCCTTTACTGCCATTAAGGTCAATTTCTTACGATTGTCCCCGCCAGAAATACCATTCGTGGGAATCTGCCCGTGCTATAACAACAGAACCAGAAATTAACTTGTGGTTGGTGTTGTTGCATCTACTTCGACTTCAAAAAGATTTTTTATTCCGAATTGGATATACAGTAGTATGACCATCGAAGTTCAAGAAAATCTAAACGGTGGTGGTAGCGGCTTTCGAATCGTTGAAGAAGAGGGCATAGAAATTGGGCATGTTAACGATGACGTTGACGAAACTTTGGCCTCCCTAAATGGAACCCAGAACGGAACCCAGAACGGAACCAAGAACGGAACCCAGAATGGGAGCCACAAAAACCATAGTGAAGGAAATAGGAACAATAATTCCGGGTTTCTCGTGAAACCTGACGATCTCTCTCGGTTCGCCAAAGATCGGAATACCGACGCTCTAATTGAGCTTTTGGAAAAGGGAATTGACGGTCGCGCTCATATTTTGAAGAACCAGAATGGGAAAGGAAATGGTGGCGTTGGTGATATTGAAACCCCTTCGGTGGATTATGAACTTCTTTCCAAGACCATCGAGCTGATCAGAGAATTAAAGAAAGATCAAGCGGATGGACCATACCAGAAATATAGCAAAGATCAGTACGAGATGGATGTACATGTCGAACAAGCTGTTGAAATGCTAACCGCACTTGTACTGCGCTCTTCTCTCGAAAAGGGGATTGATAGTAGCGAAGCAGAATATCGAAGAGCAGTGTTTGGATCTAACGCAATTGCAGAAAAACCAATGGAGTCATTCTTAGCCCTGTGCTGGGAGGCAGTCCAAGATTTTGTCTTGATAATGTTAATTGTTTTGGGCATTATTGCGTTGGCCGTTGAAATTTCTGATAAAGGTCCCTGTGGATCCTGCTGGGCTGAAGGAACAGCCATTCTCCTTACCGTTCTTTTAGTGGTCCTCTTGACGGCGAGTATTGATTATGCCAAGCAGTTTGCCTTTCAGCGCTTGGCGCGTAGCTTGTTTGAAAGCAATACCAAACAGGTGATTCGAAACGGCAAACAGATGACCGTAATCGATGACGACATTGTCGTGGGTGACATTTTATGTGTCAATTCCCATGCTCTTGCAAGTGTACCTGCAGATTGTGTCTTGATAGGTCCGGCAGCAGATTTGAAAATGGACGAATCCACTTTGACGGGAGAGTCAGAACCTGTATCCAAAAAACCAGGTGATGTCATATTGAGTGGTACCAATGCAATTCAAGGGTCTGGGAGAATGGTAGTCATTGCTGTCGGTATCAATTCGGTAGGCGGGAAAATCAGGGCTCATGTGTATGAGTCAACAGATCATGACGATGAGCTGGGAGATGATGGCGAAAATTCGCCTCTGTATACAAAATTGGATAAGATTGCGAAACAAATAGGTATCGCTGGGATAGTAGCGGCATGCTTTTCATTTGTTGTCAGCTGTGTAAGTGAAGCGGAAAATCTATAAACTGTTTCGTGCGCTACGAATAACTCACAATATCACTTTCGACATCCCATTCAATTTATTCCGTAGATTATTGGGTTGGGGGTTGAGAAAGACCCTGTTAGAAATCTGCTCGACTATCTGGTCACCGCAATCACAGTTTTAGCAGTCGCTGTTCCAGAGGGTCTTCCACTAGCAGTAACATTATCCTTGGCTTTCTCGTCTCGCAGAATGACAAAAGAGCATAATCTAGTTAGGAAATTGAATGCCTGCGAGACAATGGGTTGTGCAACTACTATTTGTACCGACAAGACTGGTACGTACTGTCGCACAGCCTTACGACTAAGATATAAAGTTCTGCGAACAAGGGAATTAGCAACGATTTTACGTTCTAACAAGTGCCTTTGTCTTCGACCTTGTTTATTCTGTCTTCTTTTTCTCGACTTCAGGAACTCTTACTGCAAATAAAATGTCTGCTCGGGCTTTGTATGCAGGAGATAAGGACATGACTGTAGATGATCATAAACAAACCCTGGGTAATTTTGTCAAAGAAAACATTTCAGATGAAAGGATTTTGGAAACAATCGGAAAAGTCATAAGTATCGATACCATGAATGAGACAAATTTAGAGTTGGATCAAAATGGTGCCGTGGAAGGGTCGTCCGGAAATCCTACGGAAGCTGCACTCTTGGTATTTGTTCATGATTTGGGTTTCAACTATGACCAAATTAGAAACTCAACTCGGGGGCGATCGTCTTGTGGTGAGGAGGCAGCGTATTTATCTGACGGTAAATTATACGGGTTCTCCTCAGGACGCAAAATGATGAGTTGGGCTGTTCCACTCGACAATGGCAGGTACCGCATTTACACCAAAGGTGCTCAGGAAGTTATTTTGTCACGATGCAATCAATACATCAGCGCTGAGAATCAAATCAAGGAGTTAAAACCAGAAGATACCGACGAATTTATGAGATATTCTCAAATCTATGCTCGTCGTGGGATGAGAACTATAGCACTTGCGTACGGAGACTTGCCCGCAGGCACCGACTTGGAAGCAATTTCGTCGACGATCAAAAACCCTGATGGAAGCGACGCCTTTGAAGCCGAAACAAATCTTGTTGCTGTGGGACTGGTGGGTATCGAAGATCCTTTGCGTCATGAAGTTCCAGATGCTATTGAAACTTGCTACAATGCTGGTATTGATGTGCGCATGGTCACGGGTGATAATCCCAGCACAGCAGCCAGTATTGCCTATCAGGCAGGCATTCTTCGGGACTTTCACTTTCAGGAAGGTACAAAAGAACGCGTAGCGTCAAATCTGAAGGACAATGTGCTCATGACTGGAGATGTTTTCCGAAGAATGGTTTATCGTATCGTGACAGACGAGAATGGCGGACCTTGTAAGCAAGAGTTTGATCAGGCTGCATTTGACAAAATATGGCCGTTCCTGCGGGTTTTAGCTAGATCCTCTCCAGATGGTGAGTTTGTGCTACTGTATACGACAACGATTTTGACATGATGAATCTGTACTTTGTTCTCAACAAATTCGTTGCATTGTTTTCAGACAAATTAACACTAGCACATGGACTGAATCAATCGACTGTTTTCACCAACGAAGCGCTATGCAAGAAACTGAAGAAAGAAAGCAATATTACAATTTTTCCTGATCGCCAGGTGATTGCGATGACTGGAGATGGCACCAACGATGCTCCTGCCCTGAAACGAGCCGACATTGGTTTTGCCATGGGTATTTCTGGAACTCAAATCGCGAAGGACGCTGCGGATATTATCTTATTGGATGACAATTTCGCTTCTATTGTGACGGCTGCCAAGTGGGGTCGAAACATATATGCTTCGTTGCAAAAGTTTCTTCAGTTTCAACTGACTGTTAATATTTCTGCAGTGACAACTGCAATTGTTGGAGCTTGCTACTCCCAGTACAGTCCATTAGCAGCAATTCAACTTTTATGGGTAAACATATTGATGGACTCCTTGGCGAGTCTTGCGCTTGCATCAGAACCGCCCGTAGAGGAACTATTGAAGAAGCCACCGGTTAACCGAACTCGCCATATGATCACCAACCACATGTGGGCAAATATGCTTGGCCAGGCTAGCTATCAGATATGCGTTGTGATGACTTTACTTTTTGCCGGACCAGAACTTTTGGACCTAGAACCCGGGCATGTAGTGGAAGATAGAAACGAAAATTCTGTACATTATACACTGATATTCAACGCTTTTGTGTGGATGCAGCTCTTCAATGAAATAAATTGTAGAAAGCTGAAGGGAGAATGTAAGTATTCGTTTCATAGCAACAAAAAGCGTTGCAGAGTTACAGAACAAATCTCTATTTGTCGGGAGAACTCAAGCTTCCTCTCTTTTGACTTCTTCAATAACAGGCAATGTCTTTAAAGGAATGCTGAAGAATCCAATATTTTGTTCAATTTTACTGTCCACGTCAATCCTGCAGGTTTTGATTGTTCAGTTTGGAGGAGATGCGTTGCATGTTGCAGATGGAGGTCTCTCCGGTGAATTCTGGGGCCTGTGCCTTATTCTTGGTGCTGGTTCTCTGCTAGTTCAACAATTTATCAATCTGGCATACACTCTAGGCCAGAATACAAAGAGTTGGAGGCTACAACAGCGATTGAAGAGAGATTCTAGTATACGAAATGCTTATCATAATGCTGTTGAGAGTCATATGCATCAAGATTAGCTAGTGCAGTGACAACTATCAAAATGCTGTTCATGTCTCATTCTTTTTAACTCCCCCAAAAAGTGAAATTTATTTTGATATTACAGATTGTAATAGTACTAGAATAATACTTGCTGATCTAGTATTATTCATGCTGTTGTTATTATTTGTATCTACCAGTATTGATTACACATCAAAAATTTGTGCAAGGGTAGAATCCAAAATTGTTTGAACAATTTTGTACTACTACAATAAGCAAGGTTAAGCATCATCCAACCAGAATTACTATTCAGATAGTAAAATCTTTGTTTGTTTGTGAAAAGTAGTGCTGAAGTGACAGAGATAGTAGCAACAATGAGAAGAAGTACTCAATTTATTGTCATAAAGCAACATGATGATAAACTAAAAGAAATCCAAGAATATAAGCAATCCTCACAGTCACCTCCATCGTCTGGCAAGGGGAGATGATGTTGAACTTGTCCAAGTCATTTGTCTAAGCAAAGCTATAGTTTGTACTACTAGTAGTACTGTGGTAATCCAATTTTTGCACGGTCAAGCACATGTCGGAGACCCTAAGTAAATGAAAAATTGAGGTATTTTAATAGGCTCAACGGACAAAAATGAAAGTGGTACTTTGGTACTCACTTGGAGGACTCCGGTACCACCACATGGTACTCCAGTACCATCTTACTACTTCATACAGTATGTACTATGCTCTACTGCTATCTACAGTGGTGCTTTGACCTGCTGATATGAAGGACACTGATACAAGTTGCTGATACAGAGGATGCTAGATGCTGATACAAGTTTCTGAAACAGAGGATGCTGGTATGGAGGAGGACACTGGTGATAAGGAGGGGGACGCTGACACAGAGGAGGACACTCCTGATGTAGAGGGGGATGTTGATAGAGACACATTAATACAGGCGCTTCTTCTTGTAGCTTGCTTGCCAGATCCAGAGAGGGAAAAGAGCCCATTCCCCTATATCAGAGGAGGCAATGCTTGTAGTTCATTTGCTGGATCCAGGGAGGGACCAGGGAGGGATAAGAGCCTGTTCCCCTACATGGGAGGAGGCAGTGCTTGTAGTTTGGTTGCTGATATGGAGGACAATGCTGATATAGAGGACAACACAAACACTGATACAGTGGACGCTGATACAGAGGAGGACAACACTGATAAGGATAATGATGCCGACAAATGACACTTACATTTCTTCAAAGGAGGCCTTTTCCCATAGTCAAAGTGCAAGAACAACATCATGACTGGAAAACACTTCCAGTCCGTAAATAATACTGGAACTGCATGGAGATAAGGCTGGGGAATCTTCTTTAAACTGAGTATGTACTAGCATATACTCTAGTAGGCATTGTTCTTCAAAGGATAGGTCATGGTGCTTGAATACTGGAGGCTGGGGTTGTTGCTGTTGTTGCTGTCCAACAAGCTAAAGCTAACAAATTGACTCATAATGTTGAAACAATGCTGTTGAGAACATCAGGTTCTGTCAATAGAAACGCGTTCTTGGACTGGTATGTCTGCAATGAGTTGTCAGCACATTCAATTGCTTCAGTCAACTATTTGTAGCCTCATCATGTCCTCCCCAGACAACACTCTTTTCTTTCCATATCTCTTGAGTCATTCCCATCCGATGTGTCTTCATCTTTGAATTTGAATCCCCTTCGTACTAGTACTATCTCCCATCCGCAATAGTTGCTCTACTTCCTACGGCTCCCTGTTAGAATACGGTACGGTAGTCTTAATTCGAACCGAAACTGGTACGGTACGTACGTACTCGTGAAATAAACAGAACGACTAAATAGACTCCTGGGCCGTTTGGCCGTAACCTACTGGTTTTGGCGGGKGCCCATGCATGTGCATACCCTCAATTTTTTTCAGGTACTGTTCTTCTTTTCTTGTCAGAACCCACCCATAAGTAATTTATTTCCTTAAGTACTGAAAAATAACACACGAAACCTCAGGATGCAGCAGGAGTGCCAAGAAAGTACTACACCAAAAAAACCTAAGTCCTCAATGACCACAACACAGGCACACAAACACATTAAATGCACCTCTCCCTCCAACCACTGTCATTCCAATTGTAGCTAAGATCACTCATCAATCTAGTTCTCATTTTGCATTACTTTTCATAACCACATCCCCAATATATCCTGCAAGTTTCAGAGTGTGTTACTACTTGGATTGCTTTAAGAGGTATTTGTAAAAATTCGGAACTGTATTCCGCCTATTGCTTCTATTCCGCATGGTCCACCAGTACCTAATTCTGACTAAATGTTTTAATTGGCATCTCTCTTTTTCTGAATAAATGTTTTATTCCGCACAACGCGCATTTTATTCAGAACAATTGTTTTCTTGTTCGGGGTAGTAGCGCATATTATTCAGAACAAATATTTTATTCGGGGTACTGGCGCATTTTATTCAGAACAAATATTTTATTCGGGCTACCAGCGTAATTTATTCAGAACAAATATTTTATTCGGGGTACTGGCGCATTTTATTGGGAACAAATATTTTATTCGGGGTACTGGCGCATTTCATTCGGAACAAATATTTTATTCGGGCTAACAGCGTAATTTATTCAGAACAATTATTTGTATCTTTCTTTTCTTTTTTGCAGGAGGAGTAGAGGCCTGATCATCCTCGCTATCCTGGTCGTCATCTCTATCCTCACTGCATGATTCATCAAAGATGTTGTGGAACTTGTCTGGTTTTTTTGGTGGTGATGGTGGCTCCACTTTTTGTAGGGGGGTTTGTAGTCATGCTGGTAATATTGCAACCTGCGCGGAATAAAACATTTATTCAGAAAAAGAGAGATGC